TTTAGTCTCCTGAGGACCTTACATTTTCATTTATCAGCCTACCTTGGCTGAAATCCTCAGAGCAAGAGAACATTTGAGAAGTGCTACCCTGTCAGTCCTAAAATTCCTGACCTGAGAAATCTAGCAGCTGGGTGTTTCTTGCTATCAAAGACACAGTTAGGATAATCAAACTGGAAAAATGTGAATATAGTCTGTGTTGTACTGCATAGTATCGGATATATGTCAACTGCCTGATGAGACTAAGAAAATGCACTTGGTTTGTTTCTTCTTATATAAGATATATATTGGGGGCTGAGATGGCATCATATCTGCAACTTACTTCCAAGGTTCAGAAAACAACAGATATGTATGGATAAAGTGATAAAGCCCCTGTGGCAGAAAAGACACACAGAGTCGAGAGGTGGGATCTGGGGGGAAGAAAGGCATCATGGGAGTTCTGAGAGCATGTGTCAGCCTCCAAGGTTCCACTGCCTCAACTCCATCACCTGTTCAGTTTCCTCGCTTGGGCTTTTCTCTTCCTTGTCTACACATCATCCCTAAGTGTTTGTCTGTTCCCGCAGTATTCATGACCATGCATGTGACAATCTCAAATTTCTCTCTCGAACTCTTGGTCCTTCTCATAATGTCACATTGAATATCCAGTTACCCCTCATTAATTCACTGTCTCACAAGTATCTCCAAGCTACAATATGCCAACAGTGTCCATGTTCTGTCCCTTCTCCCTGGGGCTTTTCACCTAGGTGCACAATGCCAGCCACTTGCTCAGACCAGAAAAAAAATTGTACTGGTTATTTTTGGCTTCTCTTTCCCTACTTCCTCCTTATATACAACTTTGTTTCTTGAAGTGAAACTTAATTTTCAGACTACAAGCTTTTTTTTTCCCTTTTCCCAACCCTGTTTATTAAAATCTTTGGGGAAATCCACAATCCTGACAAAAATTTGCCAGCAAGTAACAGTGTTCAGACTATATAATTATGGCTCAATTAATAACCTTGTTATTATGATTTTAAAAGCTGACTGCTGCTTATTTATCTATTTATTAGCTATTTGAGGGGGGTTCTGAGACAGGATTTCTTTGTGACTTTGGAGACTGTCCTGGAACTCACTCTTGTACACCAGGATGGTCTCAAACTCACAGAGATCCTCCTGCTCTGCCTCCCAAGTGCTGGGATTAAAGGCGTGCACCACCACTGCCCGGCCTTAGCTATTTTAAAACTTGTAAAATTGCATTTATTTATGTACCCATTGTGTGTGTGTGTGTGTGTGTGTGTAAATGTGCATGCACATGCCATGGTGCACATACTAAGAAGTTGTGTGTGTAGAGGTGTGGTGGTCAAAGGAATTGGTTCTCTCCTTCCATTATGTGGGTCCCAGGGACAGGACTCCGGTGGTCAGGTTTGGAGGCAAATCCCTTTATTCATGCACTATTCCACCAGCCCCATCTCATTAGCTGTTGAAACTGTATTTGCATATGAACAAACATGAAATAAAAACCTCCACCACATTGCCACTGATCTGATAGATATTAGAAGAGGTTGCTGGGCGGTGGTGGCACACACCTTTAATCCCAGCACTCGGGAGGCAGAGGCAGGCAGATCTCTGTGAGTTTGAGGCTGGGCTGGACCGATAGCCTCCAAAACAATACAGAGAAACCCTGTCTCGTAAAAAAAAAAAAAAAAAAAAAAAAAAGAAGAAGAGGAGGCATGTGTTGGTATATGCTGTCACTCAAATAATGCTTCTCCATCATTTCTGGAACACTTCTTTGCCAAATGTTGGTTTCGTGTGAGCTCTTGTGCCTGAAAGATGTTCCTCAGAGTCACTGTGAACAGAATCACTTCACCTGTACCTGGAGTTGCAGTGGACATGGTGAGCCTATGGGTGGTGAAGCCATTTGGGTAGAATTGTGGTCCTCTGAGGCCCTGCGGCACAGCACAGGTCCATGAAACACATTTAAAGTGTTAGATGGTAAGAATGCAGACCAACTCTTCAGAATGAGCTTGCTAAACACAGGTTCTCAGACATGATGTAATTTGTAACAGTGCATGTGTGCTTGCAACAGAAAAAGAATTTGCTACCTCCATCCCCTTTCAGGGGTAATCCCTCAGCAATTACCTTGAAAACATATTTAAAAAAATTTTTTTTGCTGCTGAAGATTTTAATACAAAGGAAAGACATGATGATCTGGTAGGAAACTGAGCTACTCAGCAAGAGCCCCAGTATCACCAGAGTGCCTGCTCTTTCCAACCTGGTTATAGTCTTTGGGATCAAGTAAACCACATTTGACGAAGATCTTTGGAATTGGGATTATTTTCTGTGGCTTATCACATAATGAAAATAAAATAATTTTCAACCAGGAGCCAAAAGATGTTGGCAAAAGATTTCAGATTAATAAAGGAAAGAAAACCTAAGAACTTGCCATCAGCAGACCTCATTATAGAAAATACTAAATGATTCATCAGCAATGTGAGCCTAGATGGAAAGTATGAAAAGTAAGAACAAGAGGATTTATAAAATAATAATAAGGATGTGGGTTTAAGATTTATTTGAGATACATGTCAGTATAGAAGCTTTGAGGAGGTAAATGTGGCTAAGATACTGTGAAAAGACTTTGTATGTTGCCGGAGAGATGATTCCTGAATAAGTTTAAGCTTTGTTTTGTTTTTAAATCTTCATTTTGGGGCCCAGTGTGCTGGCACATGCCTTTAAACCCAGTAATCAGGAGACAGACATTTGTGAGTTTGAGGCCAGCCTGGTTTTCATAGAGAGTTGCACAGCAGCCAGGACTGCATAGTGAGACCTTGTCTCATAAAAACAGGAAAAACATTATTTTGTTTTTATCTATTCTGTGTCTGTGTGAGTGTACACCATGCAATCATGCCCTGCCTGCAGAATCCAGAAGAATGTGTTGGAGCCCCTGTAACTAGACTTAGATAGAGGCAGTTGTGAGAAGTCCTATGTGAGTGCTGGGAACTGAACCCACTTCCTCCAGAAGAACAGCGAGTGCTCCTAACCAAGGAACCATCTTTTCAGACCAGAATTTAATTTTTTTTATTTGAGACAGAATGTCATGTAGCCCATGTTGGCCTTAGACCTTAGACTTACTCTTGGCTTCTCTTTCAGCACAGGATCTAACCTTTATCATTTCTTCTGCTGTTTTATTCTTTGCTTCTGTATCACCTACTTCATAACATCTAATAAAGTCAGTAAAGGCATTTTCCCATCTAGAGACACTGATTCCTATTGGTCTCTTAGCCCAATTGTATCTGAACACCCAAAAAGTCCATCTGAATTTATACCAAGATAACTTTCCATAGCCAGATTTCAGGGCAATTCTGGAATCAGACATTTTAACTGCAGTAAACTGCTCTGGAGGACGGGGGCCCTCACTCACTTCTCCATGTGGAGCTCCCAGTGTAAAAAGGCCGTGGGTATAGGCTCTTTTATCTATTTCAATGGCAGTGGTTCTAGAAGTCTCCCCAAAGTTGGATACAGTTCACCAGAGTCCCACAATCCCAAGTTGGGTTTTCACCTTTTTGTTTTTGTTTTGTTTTTGTTTTTCGAGACAGGGTTTCTCTGTATTGCTTTGGAGGCTGTCCTGGAACACACTCAGTAGACCAGGCTGGTCTTGAACTCACAGAGATCAGCCTGCCTCTGCCTCCCAAGTGCTGGAATTAAAGGCCTGTGTCACCACACCCGGAGGGTTTTCTCATTTTCTTGATTTCTCTTCTTACCTTTGCTCTTTTCATTTTTACTCTTCACCTTGGTGCCTTAAACACAAGTTTGGCAGATTTTACACAGGAATATTCAGTTACGGTGACAGAGAGCGGCTCTAACCTCTGGAGCTGAACAGAGTTTAGATTTTGACAGGATTTAGAGATTAATACTTAAGTTTCTGGTGGTAATCACTACAAACACAGAAACACAACAAACTAAGAGAGAGAGGAATAAAATACAAGGAAACCTTTTAATGCAACGAGGAAAACAACGAACAAACCAAAACCAGATCATCAATCCAAGAGAAAGAGAAAAATAGAATTTGTCAGACAAAATGATTTAAACCAGCAGATTCTTGTTTTGAAACAGGCTCTGTTTATATAGCCCTGGCTGTTCTAGAACTCTCTTCAGACAAGGCTGGCCTTGAACTCACAAGAGTTCCACCTGACTCTGCCTCCTGAGTGCTGGGATTAAAGGTGAGTGCCACTATGCCAGGCAACTGTAAACTCTAACAACCTAGGGAAGTGAATCAGGATGGGCTATGTGTCTAAAGTCCTGAAGGTAGGTAGGTGTGTGTGTGTCTCTGCGTGTGTGTGTGTGTGTGTGTGTGTGTGTGTGTGTGTGCTACTAGAGACCTGATCTTTTCTTTTTTAAAAAAAATATTTTTATTTAAATTAGAAACAAGCTTGCTTCACATGTCAATCCCAGCTGCCTCCCTCCCCTGCCCCCCAGGCCTCCTCCCAACCCCCACTCCATTCTTCTTTTCTTTTGCTTTAGGCATGTCTGGGTATGAGGCCCCAGTCTGTCTTCTGCATTACAGGTTTGTTTTGAGGGGGTGGTCTGCTCTGGACAGTATGGATGCCTTGTGTTTGCTTCAAATGGTGTCTCAGCCAGTGCTTGCTGACCCCCTTACATCTATGCTTTGTCTCTGTTTTGTGTTTCACAATCTTTGTGTCCTTCTGTCCCACTGTCACTGCATTCTTTTCCTCTAAGTATATTGTTTTAAGCCATCTGTTAACTTTTAACTATTTTAAATTATTTTCTCAATGATTGCTCTAGGGATTATAATGGATTATTTTTCTGGTTAATGCTAACTTAATTCTGGGGTCAGAGAGACTCTGCTCCAATATCCCCCATCCCCTCACTTGGTAAAGAAGTACACATCATGGGGGAGGGGAGAGGCTTGCAGGGAACATGATGAACTATTTATTGTTTAATTATAATACCATCTTAGTGATGTAACTAAACATTACTCAGAGACATACAAAGTCACAATAAGTCAATGGTACGGTCATGATAAACAACAGCTTTATTGACTACTGTGCCCCAAACTCTTTACATCACATGCTAATAGGCTCGGGAAGTCCCAGAGAGGAGTAGAAGCAGGCCAGAGGGCCTCTGAGCATCTGTCAGGCCCCAGCCCCAGTGGCACACCAGCACTGTGCTCTAGGTGAGGGGCTGCTCTTCCTCAATTGAGATGATATTCAGTAACTCTTTAATAACACTCTGCTCCTGCACATCAAGATGTTCCTCAGTTAGACTGAGGGCTCTCGAGGCATACTCCTTTGCCTGAAACAGAATTTCAGTGGTATGTGGAAGTGGTCCAGGAAAGAATAACATTAAGAAACTGAATTTGAGCAGCGCATTGGTGGTACACTCCTTTAATCCCAGCACTCGGGAGGCAGAGGTAGGCGGATCTCTGTGAATTCGAGGCCAGCCTGGTCTACAGAGCAAGTTCTAGGACAGCCTCCATAGCCACAGAGAAACCCTGTCTCGGAAAAAAAAAGAAAAGAAACTGAATTCGTGTTTAGTTCAGAAACTGAGGAGGGAACTGGTCACTTTCTCTCACTAACCACCGAGTTCCATGAAAAGCAGAGTCAGAGCCACAAAGGGTCTCCAGCCAGGGACCAGCCAGGGCAGAGAGGTCACTGGTGTCACCAGTATATCCTAGAGACCCTGGGCCCAGAGGCTTGGGCAAAGGCGCCATGGGATCTCTGTTTCAGGGCGGCCTTTGGTTCCTATTTTCTCCGTCCTTGCTTCTAAACACTTTTCTGAGTAGCTGCTATCTTCCAGGACCAACTATACACAGAAATCTGTGTCCTTGTAAAACTTACACAGAGCAGGAAAGACAATACACACGGTGAATAATAAAGTATGATGATATCATTTTTTATTTTTTTACAACAGGCTTTTTCATAGCCCAGGCTGGTCTGAAACTTACTGTGTAGCTGAGGATGAGCTTGAACTTCTGATCCTGCTGCCTCTTCCTCCTGAGTGCTGAGATTATGTCTGTGCACCACCACATCTACACTTATGCCAGAATCTTAAGCAGTAATGCATGCAAAAGAACCAAAGGAAGCAGGAAAGAGGAACTGGAAGTATTGGTGGTGGCAGGGGTGTCCTGATTAGGTTCTTTTTTTTTTTCCTTTTGAGACAGGGTTTCTTTGTGTATACCAGACTGTCCTGGAACTCACTCTGTAGACCAGGCTGGTCTCAAACTCAGAGATCCACTGGCCTCTGCCTCCTGGGTGCTGGGACTAAAGGCAAGTGCCACCATCGCCAGCTGTCCTGGTTAGTTTTTAGCATAGGCTTGACATAATCTAGAGTCACCCGAGAAGGGAGAAGCTCATGTGAAGAATTGCCATGATCAGATTGACTTCTTGCCATGCCTATGGGAGACTGTCTTGATTGGAGATCGATGTGGGGACCCACCCACTGTGGGTAGAACTATCCCTGAGCCTGTGGCCCTGAGTTGTATATGAGTGTGAACAGTAAGCATCATCCCTCCATGGCTTCTGCTTTAGTTCTTACCCTGACTTCCCTCAGTGATGGATTGTGATCTGGAAGCAGAGGTAGAAATGAACCCTCTTCCTCCCCCAGGTTGCCTTTGGTCATGGTGTTTATCCCAGCAAGGGGAATCAAATGAGGAAGGTGGGTCTTGGCAGTCTTAGACAGGGAAGAAAGACATGAAGGAAATGAGTTGTTAAATCTCGACATACAGATGGGTCTTTTTAGTTTAAACCTTCAGGAGACCTAACATCCTTAGCATGCTTTGGAGTAATGACTTAACCCCAAAACGGACCCTGACCTGGACAAAAGAGGTTTTAGACGATGGCAATTTGAAAATTCTCTGGAAATATTGTCCTATTCTCTGACTATTTCTCCCAGAATTCCGGAACTAGCACCCTCTTCTGTGCTCCCACAGTGCCCCGAGCTTCACTGCCACACTCTCTAAGCTCCTCCAGACCCCTTCCGAAACACCAGGTCCCTGGTGCTCAACAAAATTTGTGGAGGAAAGGGAAGGGGAAGAGAGGTTACGAGGAGGCAGTGTGGCATTCCTCACGCTGCTCACTTCTCTTCTATTTTTCTTTATAGCACTTTTTACTGTCTGAGATGATATTACACATATCTGTCTGATTATGGTAGCTTCCCTTTCCCCAGAAGTCCCAAGTTCTACAGAAAAGTGACTTGTTTGCTAATGTCTGCTCCATTCTTGGCAGAAAGCCTTTTAAGTGGTAGATGCTTGATAAATATTTGATGGATGAATCAATCAATAGCCTGAAATAGATCACTATTGGTCTATAAGACACTGGAAAAGTAATCAAGCCTTTCTGCGCCTCAGTTTCCTTATCTATAAAGAAGGGGTAAGAATTAAACATGACAGTCAGGTAATAGGCTTCGGCCAGTGTCTGGCATCCTTTTTAACAGTTGCATGGCAGTTCCTGTCTGCCTAAATCCCACAGCAGCAGGGGGTGAGGACAGTGGCCACTTTAGTCTCCACCACATCTTCAGAAGGACACAGCAGGTTCCTGACACTATCCCCACCCCACCTCCAGTTCCCCCATGCAGCCCTGGGAAATGCCCCCCTGGGAGAAGAAAACCAGAGTCCAGTACACAACTGCACTGGCAATGTTACAGAGTGAAAGCTTGCCCTGGGGTTTGCAGGCAATACACAGCTGAACTGAACTGCTCAATGATTTGATCTCCCCATTTAGACAGCTTTTCTGGGGAAGCTTACCTTTGAACACTCCAACATCAGATAGTAAAGTATGCTCAGGGTCTTCAGAACGAGGACCGTCTTTTGGGGTGCTTTGCTGGAAGTAGGTTCTCGAATGCTCAGGATTGAAGTTAGGATCTGAATGGCCTCTGCTTCCTGGGCTTCATCTGCATTGCAAGAGGAGGAAAGGAACACAGACCTTAGAGGCTGGTGGCAGTTGGGAGTGGAGGGGGGGCTCGGTGGCTTAGAGCCTTAACAGATGCAGTGGGTAAGGAAGCTTGCTGTGTGAGCACAAGGACCTGAGTTCAGATACCTGGAAGTCCTGTGGAAAACCAGGTATGGCTGCTTGGCTTGTACCCAGTGCTGGGCAGGAACAGAAACAGGAGGCTTGCTGGAGCTGGCTACATGGGACACGCCGCCTTTGTACACACGTACACACACACGCACACATACACACACACAACACGCCCGCACGCGCACACACGTACATCTGCCCTTGCTGTAGACACTCAGCCTGCTGCAGCCTCCTCACAGAGGTTCCAGTGGAAACAGGACACAGCACAGTGAGAGTGGCAGGAGTCAGGGAGGAGGACAGCTGGCTGCAGCTCTCCAGTTCACCTAGCAGGTCTGTATGGAAGAGACCACGGCTCCCAAACTGCTAAGGTATCTATTTCAGAGGCTGGAACCCCCTGTGTTCCTGATACAGATTCCTTGGGACCCCATTCAGCCACCACTCCAGTCACAGCAGCTTCGGTCCTCCTGCAGACAGCTGGCCAACAACAGCTGAGCCTGCTTATTTCCCCCAGAGATTTTTTTCCTTGTTTTGTTTTGCTGAAATATGGTTATTAGACTTGATATGTAGTCCAGGCTGGCCTTCAATTTCTATTCCCCTGCCTCCACCTCTAAGTGCTGGGATTAAGGATGAGTTCTTCCCATTGGTTTTTGTTCCTATGTTGGTCACCATTTATTGTAGAGTTATTATAGCCTGTACTTAAAAGCATATATTTAAGTGATAAGCTTAAAGAAAAAGGCAAAAGGACATACCCATGATGCTAAGCATGGCTACCCATGCATGGCCATGTTTCTACTACAATATGAACCACTTTCCTGATGAGAAAACCAAATAAAGTTAATAAATGTCTAAACCTTATCTTAAAATCTTGCTTCAAAGTCACCCTTTCAGTGCCACCCACCTATCTTTATTCCTCATTCTGGGACTCCTGTCACATTGTGTTTGCTGCTGCAGATGGGCTCTGTATCACCTGCACTGGGGGTGACTTTGGAGTAGAAATTTAGATCTCCCATCTCTTTACCATCTCAGAGAGCATGGCCCCATTCAGTGCTACCCAATATGCAGCCCTATGCAGGCCCAAGGATGGAGATGGATCAAGTCTGGCCCTGCTACTAAGGACCTTACCGCCCTGTAAAGGAGGAGGACAGGTGTCAGGAGGAATCAACAAGGCAACGTCTGCATGGACCATCCCTGGGCTTATGTACCATGGAGGCACAACAAATAAGAGATAGACACTAGGAAGAAACCACCAGGGTCTAGTGGGGGTTCCCCCTTTCTCTAAGTCTGCCCTTATCAGCCTCCTGAGGGTTTTGTGCAATGGCAGGGGTCAGAAATTTTCCTGACATTGATACAAGCTCCTTGATCCCATTGTTTCCATTTTTCTCCTCATCTGCAAAATGGGGAAGGTGGTACCAGTGGGCTCTGTAAAAACACACAGAGGCAAGACCTCTGTGTTGGAGAGGAACATTGTTCCACTTTCTAGGAGACCTACCACTTACCCAGGCCGGTGTCATTCACAAATTGTTTGCCCAGTAAGTCTGTTTGTTGGGAACGAGCCTGTAAGAGGGCTTGATAGTGATCATTCAAATACGTATACCAGATCTCTGAGACCTGTTGGGAAAGTAGGATGATCAGATCAGCAGGTGATGGTCAAGCAAGGGCCAGCCAGTTGGGAACCTGCTGCTCAGTGCCTGGTTTCCTGAGTCTAAAAGCCCTCACGCTCACTGTGCATGGGAGCAGAAGGAGCCCTGAGAATCCAGACAGGCCTGGTGCATGTGCATAAGGTGGGAGCAGCCCTGCCAGGGTGTCAGGTCAATGGCTACTATTAAGAAGCATTTACTTACTACTCCCATTTACATGTGAATACACTCAGGCTTAGAAAAGTTACCAACACAGGCTCCATACCCAGGTCTGCCTGTTTCCAAAGTTCACTGGTGTTCAGCTACACCAAAATGCCAAATTTTTTTCCAAGACAGGGTTTCTCTGTGTGGCCCTGGCTGTCCTGGAACTTGCTCTGTAGACCAGGCTGGCCTCCAACTCAGATATCTGACAGCCTCTGCCTCCCAAGTGCTGGGATTAAAGGTGTGTACCACCACCACCTGGCCCAAACACCTTTTTCTAATAATGGTTCTAAAATAGAAGTCCATTATTGTAAAGGGAAGCTTTTTTCCTTGAGAGAAGCCTTCCCGCCAGCCTGGTTCTAGAGCCGCATCAGTCCCAAATAAACACACAGGAGACTATATTAATTATAAAGCTGTTGGCCTTGCTTGTTTCTTACTGGCTAGCTCTGACTTAAGTAATTACCCCATAATTGTTAATCTAAGTATGTCTCTTACTGGAGAAGTTTCCGGGCTTCCTACCCCATGGCGGTACATCTCAACTCTCCGTCTTTCTCCTACCCAGAGCCCTTCTGGACTCCTAGTCCCTCCTATCTTGGTTCCCTATTGGCTCAATAGTGCTTTATTGACATAAGACTTCCCCAACACATTATCACAGTATAATAGCCTCTATCACAGTTGCTACTGAATGAGTAACTGGCATTTTTCTTTATTGGAAAGTTTTTACACAAAAAAGAATTGGGAGGCAGGAGAGAAAGCTTCATGGATAAAATGCTTGCTAAGCAAGAATGAGGACCCAAGTTCAAATTCCAGCACCCACTGAAATTGGAAATGCCCTTGGCGGTGGTGGAGCATGCCTTGGTGCCACAACACACACGTGGGGGTCAGAGGACAACTTTTAGGAGTTGGTCCTCTCCTTCCTCCATGTCCTGGATCAAATGCAGGGTCAGGATTGTTAGCCTCTACTTTACCCACTGAGTTATTCTACTGGCCCACACAAAAAGTTTTAAGACATTTTCTTGTTCTTTGATCATTTGAGAGGACATTGCAGCAATAAGTGTCTCTTTAAAGTTCTTACTGGTGATGGAGAGATGGCTCATCAGTTAAGAGCACTGGCTGTTCTTCCAGAAGACCCTGGTTCAATTCCCAGCACCCACATGACAGGTCACGACTGTCAGTTCCAGTGGTTCTGACACCTTCACATAGACATGGATGCAGGCAAAACACCAGTCACATAAAATAAAAATAAATAATTAAAAAATTTTCTTCCTTCAGCCAGGCAGTGGTGGCACAGGCCTTTAATCCTAGCACTTGGGAAACAGAAGCAGGTGGATCTCTGTGAGTTCAAGGCCAGTCCAGTCTACAGAATGAGTTCCAAAACAGTCAGAGAGATGTAGAGAGACCCTGTCTCGAAAAAATAAAATAAAAAGTAAATAAAAATAAAGTTCTTCCTTCTCTGTTATACACCTCCATACAACTGCCTTGCTGGCTGTGTGTCAAGGGTGTGACACAGCCTGTCATAAGCTCTGGCTCTCTGTGAATCCCTCTACAGAGAAGATGTAAGTTTCTATCCCGCCTGGAAGGATATTCCCCATCAGTACAGATGCTAAGGATCAGCCCATTCTAGCACTAGAGAAAGAGGGAAGTAAAGTACTCTGAGATTAGGCTATGTAAGCTGGCTGGCGCGAGTCAGTCTGTCTCTGAGCATCCCGATTCCTTATAAGATGCCAGGTCTAAGTGTCAGTGCTAAGTTCCCACATTCCCCATCTCACCTTTGTGTACAGTGTGTCTGCCAGTCCCATTTTGTTAAGCCCATGGAAGACATTGGCCAGGTGGAAGTAGCCTCCAGAGGTCCTGATGTCTTCTGTTCCAAATGCACAACTGGCAAAATAAATCTATTGCAGGAGGAAGAAAATGGGTGCTTGAGTTCTCCTGAAAATTAAGTGAATGATGAAGGGCCTGTGTCCAGAACACACATTACAGCCTGATGTGAAAATGGACTAGAGGGACCTGAGAAGATGTTTCTCTAAAAGACACAGGGATGTTTAGTAAGCATGTGACAAATGCTAAACACTGACAATCATTCGAGAAATGGGAAACAAAATCACAACGATCTCATCTCGCTTAATAGCCAGTATTATGGATTTATTTATTTATTTATTTATTTTTGCTTTTTCGAGGCAGGGTTTCTCTGTAGCTTTGGAGCCTGTCCTGGAACTAGCTCTTGTAGACTAGGCTGGTCTTGAACTCACAGAGATCCGCCTGCCTCTGCCTCCTGAGTGATGGGATTAAAGGTGTTCTCTTTAAAAAGAGAAAATGGCAAGACTGGTAAGGAAATAAAGCCGCAGACATGGCTAAGAGGGATGAAAAATGGTGCAGCCTCTGGGCAGTGGCTAGGCAGATCTTCAAAAGGCTAAACATGCAGCTGCTGTGTGGCCCAGGAATTCCTCCTCTGGATACCTTCCCAAGAGAAATGGGCATGTATGTCCACAGAGAAACTGGCTCACAAACATCTGTCACAGTCATCCATAGCAGTCCCAGAGCAGAAACAGCCATTGTCTTGAGTGGATGAGTAACCTGCAGCCCAGACACAGTGGACTGCTTGACAATTAAGGGACCAGCTGTTGATCATACAGCAGCATGAATGGACTCTAAATGCTATGCAAGGGGACAGGACTCAGATTCTCCCTCTATAGAGTCTGGAGACAGAAACCGACTGCCTGGGGCTGGCATTTGAATGGGAAATGACTGCAAATAGCAGTCTTTGGAGTGATGGAAATGTTCCAAAAACTTGATTGTGCAGCTCTGTAAATGCTCTAAAACTTACTGGCATGCATACATGAAAATGGGTAACTCTATAGTTTGTATCCATGAAGTTTATGTGAAAGAAGAGGAGGGAAATCTGGGTGTGATACCAAACATCTGCAATCCTAGCACTCAGGAGGCTGAAGCAGGAGGATGGCAAGTTCAAGATCAACCTGAAGTATATAATAAGAGCTTGTCTCAAAAATTATGTCTAGATACTGGTGTAGCATGAACCTTTAATCCCAGAACTTGGGAGGCAGAAGCAGCTGACCTCTGTGAGTTTGAGGCCAGCTTGGTCTACATGGTAAGACTCCGTTCAAAAGAAAAACAACAAATATATATGTGAGTGTGTGTAGATGATAGATAGATGGATAGATAGATAGCTTAATGTTCAAGATTTAACCCAGTGGTGTCTAGTGCTAAAGTGTCTGTCTGTCTTTCTGTTTCTGTGTATGTATGTCTATCTGTGTGTGTGTGTGTGTGTGTGTGACATGCTCAAGAAACTTGGGTTTGATTTAATTCCTAATTGTGTGGCTCAGCACAAGACAGAATGTGCCTCTGCTTAATCAGCTGAAGGATATAAAAGGTAGAGAACAAATAAAAATGAGGAAAAGTTGCCAGGCATGGTGGTGCACACCTTTAATCCCAGCATCCAGAAGGCAGATATCTCTGAGATCAAGGCCAGCCTGTTTACATATCAAATTCCAGGACAGCCAGGGTGGGTAGTAAGACCCTTTCTCTTTCAAGGCAAAACGGTATTGGTTAAGGATTTGGATATAAACAGATACCACCTTAAAGGACTGCCCAAAGTTAGTTTAATGGAAGACTTACTGGAGATGTGGCAGGGTTACAAATGCAAGAGGCCTAATGAAGCACCAGGAACAGCAATGGCAAGGAGCTATTACCATCTCCATACCCCAGAACACAAGAGGAGACAGCAGAGGTAACAAAGAGCAGTCAGGGCTAGAGCTATGGCAGTTGGACAGGAGCTGTGTCCAGAGAGGACTGCAGACTGCCTCTGTCAAAACTGTCTGGGCCCCACCCCGACCCACGATTCCCCCATTATACCTCCTACCCTCCTCTCCTCTACTGTGCTTCTCAGTCTTCAGTCCCTAGCAAAGTCAGACAGCAATGGCATCCACCATCTCCCAGGGCAGGAAGTTGCACAGAAGATGGCCTTGAGGTTCAGATAGTCTAAGGCACGTGCAGAGGCAGGCAACCAAAGGGAAGGTTGCCTGGAGGACAGGTGAGTGGAGACACTACAGAAAGATCCCTGAAGCTCGCAGGATGACCCAACCTAATCTGGAATTCAGGTGCAGGAACGCTGATCAATATTTTCCTATCCAAAAATTTTACTAGGATCGCCCTAGCTTGAGAAGAACATCACTCCTCCTCTCTAGCATTTGTACAGTTTTATAGATTGTAAGGACTTTCTTATAGATCTAGCTCATTTAAATTTAATAGCCACTCTGAAGAAGCAATGTTAATTTTATTTTAACAAATAGCCACAAAGTCCAGTGCATACAGTCTTCTATTATTAATCTTTGCAATGCACCAATGTGGTTGGAACCATTTCATGAGTTGTGTCTTATGTGTGAAAGAAAAGGTTACATAATTTGTCACAGAACCAGCAGAGCAGGGAACAGAAGCATTGCACTTCTCTTAGCCAGTGTCCCTGATTAGCCACAGACAACTGAGACCTGGGGAAGATGGGGCCTGGCCACATTTGCATAGCCAGGAAGTCCAAAGGTCTGAACAGGGCTCATTAGAAATGAGTTCTTGCTGCTGCTCCCAAAATGGTCAGCATGAGCAGTAAGTGTTAGGGAAATGCTCAGTTATGGAAACACTGAATGGAACTGTCTCTGGAAGTATCCAGGGATTGTAAGTGAGCTCACTCACATCATTAGCCAGATGGTAACGGGCTTCCTCATGGTTCTCCTTGGCTATGTAGAGAAGGCCCAGGTTCCGATGCAGTAAAGAATGAGTGGCGTTACTACAGTCAGTTGACTTGAGGACTGTCCACCGGGCTTGGGATAGGTATTCTTCAGCCTGAACTATCCGGCCCAGACCTGCCAAAAATCAGTTATAAAAGATGGTATAAGCCAGGCAGGGTGGCACATGGCTTTAATTCCAGCACTTGGGAGGCAGAGGCAGGAGGATCTCTATGAGTTGGAAGTCAGCCTGATCTACATAGAGATATCCTATCTTGAAAAACCCTAAGTAAATAAATAGGTTATAATTAAATTTTAAATAAAGAATATAGGATGAAATATGGGTTGTCATACATTCATTTATTCATTGATACAAATATTTATTGATGCTGCAAAGTTGCTCATGAATGTTCATAGCAATCTATTCATAACAAATGTTCATCAGTTGACAAGCATATCCTTGCCCATGAGTGAACTGTGATCAGTCAGAAAAAGAATACGGCCTGGATCCATGCTACAGAGTGATGGACTGAAAACAGCATGCTAAGTGAAAGAATTCAGGCACCAAAAGCCACATATGGTCAGGCTCCATTTATGTGAAATGTGCAGAACAGGCACAAACATAGGGAGAAAGGCGTTAGTAGTGGTTGGGGGAGGAGGGAGGAGATGGAGGAATCAGGGAGAGGGACAGGTGGGCTTGTCTAAAGAGGGGTAACTACTAAAACAAATTGCATGAATTTTTAGAGATGATACAATGTTCTGGAATTAAGTAGTAGTGAGTTATACAACCTTCTGAATATACATTAGATTGCAGCTAAAAAGGGTGAATTTGTAGATTGTGAATTCTCTCTATACACACACACACACACACACATGTGCACACATACACACATAGACATACACTAGACCTTTACATTTTTATTATTTACTTGGTGGTTTTGTTTTGTTTTGTTTCAGACAAGGTCTCTGTAGCTCTGGTCTTGAACTCTATGTAGATCAGAATAACTTCCAACTCATAGAGATCCTCTTGCCTCTGCCTCCTGAGTACTGGGAAATAAACATGTGCACCATCATTCCAGGTTTATGCCATGCTTTTAAAAAGATTTATTTTTAGGTCTTGGTGTGGTGGCTCATGCCTTTAATCCCAGAACTTGGGAGGCAGACACAGGTGGATTTGTGTTTGAGGTCAATCTAGTCTACAAAGACAGTTCTAGGACAGAGAAACCCTGTCTCAAAAAGCCAAAAAAGGTATTTATTTTGATTATTTACATGGGGGCAGTATGTGCATATGCATACAGGTTCCTGAGGAGGACAGAATAGGGTGTCAGATTCTTGGAAACTACAGGCAGTTATGAGACATCTGACAAGGCTGTTGGAAACGGGTCCTCTGCAAGAGCAGTGTACCAATACATACATACATACATACATACACACATATTTCACTCTTCCCTGCCTAGTTCTTCTCAAGGAGACAGTGCTAAAGAAGAAGGGGGTCCAAAGGTCAAGTGCGATTGCATCTAAACAAACCTCAGTCCTGAAGGAAAAGGCATATTTGGGAGAGCACACCAGGAGCCTGCAGGTTCAGAGCTGGACAGGGTAAGGCAAGCAGTGAGGTTCCAGCCCGTGGATTCTTCGTCAGAGCTCACACTGTGCCCTATGAGTCGTCAGTCCAGGCATGCTGCCCTCTCTCAGACCATGCCTCACATGCTGGGGGTGTGGAGGTGTGAAGGAGGTGAGACTCTCCTGAAGGGTGACTTTACAACACATGGAATAGAAGAAGAGACCAATGGCATTTGTCTGGGGAGTGAGACAAAGGCTAACATTGATTAGTGGCAAACCTAGACACATCACATCAGAGGGGGTGATTCTGCAGAACTTGGTGATGAAACCAAAGGAGGACAGAAGCAGCAGTCACACTGAAGGTACTCAGGGGAGGGAAAGGGAGCAGCCTTCTCAAGGATGTGGCTGCCCCACACCAATCCGCCCATCTGAACCTGTGACAAGTCTGCCAGCAATCCCTGGAAGCAGTTATTGGAGGAGGAAACTTCCTTCAAGTGAGGTGTTGTCACCTAACTTCCTGAGTATCCATCACTGTGCTCCATGTTTGGTGCACACTGAACTAAGTAAGCATGGTCCCTGATTGCAAGGAATCCTCAGTCAAGCAAGGTGAGGTCCACAGTAACCAACTGTGAAGGGCCTTGGAAGAAATGAATACACAGTCACCACAACCCAACAGGAAAAGCCTAGACTGGAGATCAGGGAACATCTCTCTGTGAGGATTGAAAGGTTCAGGCATATGCTGGCCTGTCCCTGTCACCTAGCAGGATGTACTCAGGCAGTACTCTGGTCAGCCCAGGGTTCCATAAGTACTAGTCTGCACGCAGGTGCAAAGGACCCTTTAAAAGACAGACCCCCGTCCACTTACGCCCTTTTTGCTCTCTTCTCGTCTCTCCCCTCTCCCTCTCCTGCCCTGTAATAAACTCTGTGGTTAATGTATCTCTCGTGTTTCATCTTGTCGTCGTCGTAGTAAACTTAACAAAAGAACTAGGAGCATAGTTGAGCAGATTCCTGAGGGTTGGACAGAAACCAGCAGTGCGGAAAAGGAGAAGTCTCCAGCCTCGAGGTCAGAAGTCCCACTGAACCAGGAAAGGAAGGGAAGACATGAGCCCCCCTTCTCCTATGTTCCGGCTTGAACAGAACATGAAACATCCTCCTCATATTTTGCCATCTGATCCTCAGCTGGATGCTATTTTAGTGGTTGCTTTGGGAGGTAACAGGCAGGAAGTTGGCCCCAGACAAGTGTCTTTAAAAGTCGTGTTTTGTCTACCACGAGTTAAACTGTTCTGCTCTATTATGCCCTCCCTACCACAATGGACTGAACCCAGTTAATCCATGAGCCCTAATTAGTTCTTCCTCTCGTATTGTCTGTGTCAGGTGTGATGGTCACACTGCTGTATAGTGCTGAGAGCAGAGGCCTTGGCAAGGTTGCACCTTGAGGATTTGGCCCTGCAGGGAAACCTTCCATTTCAATGGCACTTTCAGTTTTCAAAGCACTTTCATGAACGTTTCTATGAACTTAATTCCCAGAGCCATCCTATGAAGAGATGCTCAGACTCAACCAAGGCTTTCACGGTGTCGTGAAGTACCAGGACAGTATTCTTTGAGGACCCTCTCTCCTCCCTCTTCTGTGCTGGGTGTGAGAACCTTATGGAAGAATGGATCTGGTTCTCAAGTCTAGTGCAGGAAAGAGAAAGGAATCTCATCAGTAAATCTATAACTAACAATGGACTCAGTGCTCAGTAAAAAAGGAAGAAGTTTCTAAGTAAGTGGATTAAGAAGATTAGAGTTCCAAAGAAGGGTAGTGGTGGCTCATGCCTTTAATCCCAGCACTCTGGATGCAGAGGCAGGCGAATCTCTAAGAGTTTGAGGACAGCCTGGTCTTCAGAGCAAGTTCCAGGTCTACACAGAGAAACTCTATTTTGGAAAAACAAAACTACAAAGCTTGGCTAGAAACAAGCCAAGCTAAGGCCAGACATTCATAAAAATAAGTTTCCATGTGATTGATTGGGAGCTGGGTGGAGGGCCCCCAAAGAGTCAAAGAGAAAAACAAAAAAACAAAACTATAGGAAGACTTCCAGAAACCTTGACTTGAGACCCGAGAAACAACAGGGAATTAATTAGGTGGAGGAAATAGAGACTTTTAGAACAAAGAGTGCACCGTAGGACTTGACAGAAACTCTCTGCAACTAGAAAAGAGAAAAGAACAGGTGAGGGCCAATCTTTCAGGGCCTCAGACTGCTGTGGGGCTTTGTCTTCTTGGACACACAATTAGATCACATTGTTTAGTGGAGGTGAGACTCCTCTCCAAGGAAGACCTGGAGAGAGCAGGGAGTAAGCAGGTGGGTGTGGGAACTTCAGCTTAAATGGTTTTCCCAAAGCGCTATAGTCAGGGTCAGAGTACACAGGCTCTGAGCCGTATTTCCTGGCCCAGTGCTCTTTCTATTGTCTAGAATGGGGTGTCAGACCTGAGCAGGGTGGGGTGGGCATTCCTGTAGGTACAAGGCCTGATACATGGAGCCAGAGCCCAAATGACTAAGGGCATGCATGCAGGAGAGTCAGCCCCCAAGTGAGGAGGCAGAGCCCACATAGGCAGGGAAGGGCATCTTTGTGAGTGGACAGCTTAGATTGGAGAAAAAGGACTAGTTAGGTCCTGCAAACCCATTACATATACAAAAACATCGATGACTGTGGACACCAGCATCCTTGCTGTCAGAGAAGGGGGCTGCAAACTGAAATGGGAGACTGGACTGAAGATGTATGCTGTGCATGTTTGGGTGTACTAGCATAGATCCATGTCATATATGTGTGAGAAACATTAAATATTAGCCTTTTCTGTAAACACTATAAACCTTTATTATGACAAGCAATTCAAATCTTTTCATCTCCCCCACCTGGTGAACCCTTTATGGAAATGTTTAGATCTCACAGTTACACTTTCATTTACACAAAGGCCCTGCTGTATCCTTGGAACTTAAGTGACTTAAATGGCCCAGCCCTTCTCACTCTCCTTCATTTCCTTTTAAAACTAGACAATTGCAGAAGACTGGATTCAGACTCCAGCCGATGGGGAAAAACACAATCACCACCTGTACTAGAATAAAAACCAAGTGAACTTCCTGTCGCTGAGTGCTTGCTCACCAGGTTTGGGTCTTGGATACCCTTTTTACAAAAAGAATCGCCTTGCTGGCTACTTTTGCCTTGTTCATATGTCTCTTAGGCATGATGCTGAGATTGTTTCTAACACGGATATCACCTGTATAGACACACACAACACAGAATTGTGTTTAAACACCCATTCCTAATTCTGTACACTGATTAATCCTGGCATGGGCAATGAGTAAGAGGGTCTAGGAGATAATACGTCAGAAAGCAGGAACTCAAAAAAAAAAAATGGAGATGTTTCAAAGAGCAAGGAGATGCCAAGCCAGCTTGAGTGGGAGCAGTCACTAGCCAAATCAGGACCAGTTTACACATGAATAATAGTAATAACTGTGGTGGGTTAAAACCCAGTAAATAGGCCGGGCAGTGGTGGCGCACGCCTTTAATCCCAGCACTCGGGAGGCAGAGGCAGGTAGATCTCTGTGAGTTCGAGGCCAGGCTGGACCGATAGCCTCCAAAACAATACAGAGAAACCCTGTCTCGTAAAAACAAACAAAAAAACAAAACAAAACAACCCAGTAAATAAAACAGGGAACCAGAAGTTGCAATAAATGGCTATAAACGAATGAATATGTGGTAATATTTTGTTTATTCTATAACAAATAATGCTTGCCTGAAGATTAGAGAATAGTGCTAAACCACTAGTTAGCCATAGAGGCTAGGCAATGGTGGCAAACACCTTTAATACCAGCACTTGGGAGACAGAGGCAGACGGATTTCTGTGAGTTCAAGGTCACCCTGGGCTATACAAGATTGAATCTGTCTAAAAGAGAAACAGGGCTCACCCAAAGGTGATCCCAGCCCTTGGGATCCTATGCCTTTAATCCCGGCACTAGGGAGGTGGAGACAGGAGTGATAGGACTGGGCAGAGAGAGAAGCTTAAAGCAGCCTGAGGATTCGTAGGGACAGGGCTGCCCCTTTGGTCTGAGCATTGGTAGAGGTAAGAACTCTAGTGACCACCACTCTGCTTCTCTGATCCTTCGGCTTTCACCCTGTTAGCTGACTCTGAGTTTTTATTATTAAGAGCAATTCATGTTCCATGAATCCATTAAGAGTTTGATAAGGAGTGGGACATTTATATGATGCCAAAGTACCACTTGATAAACCGAAACTATAATCACAGTGACTCATGACAGAGAGGCCTAGTCAGCACCACTGTAGTAAAGGTGTGATGCATTTGGGAACACAGGTCCTACTTGGTGGAAGGAGGTGCTGCCTGGTTCCAGAAGTTCAGATAAACTCAATTAAGATCTTTAGGCAGAGCTGGGCTGCAAGATGTCCAGACACTGTGTAGCTGAGGATGGCCTTGAACTCCTACCTTCCTGCCTCCACTGTAGACTTTACTTCTGGATCTACCATCTAATATCTGCTGATCACTGTGGCCTATGTGTAAGCATCGGAATAGAAAATTGTGTCAGTTTATCAGATGGGTTGAGAATACACTATCACTTTTGTGGCATTCCTGTCCCAAATCCATAATCTCAATCTAGTCACAAGGAAACAGCAGACAAATACAACTGAGGGATGCTTTATATAATTGGAAAGGCTGAAGAGTTGGCTCAACAGTTAAGAGCACAGACTGCTCTAGCCAGGTGATGGTGGCGCACGCCTTTAATCCCAACACTCGGGAGGCAGAGGCAGGAGGATCTCTGTGAGTTCGAGGCCAGGCTGGAACGACAGCCTCCAAAACAATACAGAGAAACCCTATCTCGTAAAAACCAAAAAAAAAAAAAAAAAAAAAAAAAAAAAAGAAAGAAAGAAAGAAAAAAGAGCACAGACTGTTCTTCCAGAGGACCTGGATTCACCTCCCAGCACCCACAAGGCAGCTCACAGCTGTCTGTAACTCTACTTCCCAGGATCTGGTGTCCTCTTTGGCTTTTCAGGGACTAGGAACAGATGTAGTACACAAATATACCTGCAGGTGAAACACCCATATACACAAAATGATACAATGATCTCTGATGTTGTGGGATAATCTTTTTGTATACTGTAAAGATGTGTCTCTACCTGATTGGTTTTAATAAAGAACTGAATGGCCAATAACTAGGTAGGAGAGAATAGGCAAGACACCCAGGGAGAGAGAGGCAGAGATGCCAGTGAGACACTGAAGAAGTCGGATATACTGTACAGAGGAGAGGTAACTGAGCCACATGGCAGAACATAGATTAATAAAGGCAGGTTAATTTAAGTTATAAGACCTAGCTGGGAAAAGCCTAAGCTAAGGCCTAGCTTTCATAATCAACAATAAGTGTCCATGTTATTTGAGGGCTGGCAGTACCAATGAGAGAGTGAAACCCCACTCTGAAAGTATCAAGGTAAAAACAAACAAACTGAGGAAAAGCTGAGCAACTGTTGCAGAGTGAAGATTTAACATAAGACAACAAGAGAGAAAATGTATCTCTGATACCCGGGGAGCTGAACGGGGCCTTCTTAGTAGATGAGGTTGCACTGTGCTTGTGAAGAAGTGCTTTATAGGAAATGCACACCAGAGAGCACAGGGACCTTCTGCAGTACAGTCTGCAGCATGCTCAGATGGCTTGGGAGGGCTCTTGTATTACACCAACAAGCTAGGCATGTGCTTTACAGTTAAACTATATAGTACTAGCCTGAAACATATTATTCAAAATGATGGCTATTAAGATGTATGTGGTGCCGGGCATTGATGCCACACGCCTTTATTCCCAGCACTCGAGAGGCAGAGGCAGGAGGATCTCTGTGAGTTTGAGGCCAGCCTGGTCTATGGAGCTAGTTCCCGGACAGCCTCCAAAACAATACAGAGAAACCCTGTCTCGAAAAACAAACAAACAAACAGATGTATGTGGTGCCTAAAACACTGTAGATGCTCAGGAATGTAATTCCCCTCAGAACACTGATTTCTGCAACAGCCCACAGGCAGATGTCTGCTCTCACTCTTAGGGTAGTGGGTTCCTCTGTTTCTCAACTATGACGCTGACCCCAGGGAACAAGGGTAGAGTCCACATTCCAGCTGGGTTAACACAATTCTGTCTTCTAGGAATTTGTAATGAAAATACAATCCACTTCTGCTGCTCAACTGGAGTCTAGAGGATGTGCAGATTTAACTAGAGCTGATAGCTGAGGGTAACTGTCTCCAGCAGTGAGCAAAGGACATTAAACTTCAGTCTGCAGTTAGACCAACTGAAGCAGATACCTACAGAGGAGCAGAGACAAAAAGAAGGATGGAGGCAGCTGAGTTGATAGAGTATTGGACTGGCATGCATGAAGCCTTGGGTTCAATGCCCTACAGCACAGGGGAATGTAGTGCTGACCTGAATCTCAGTACTGAAAGAGTGGTGGGGGCAGGAGGATCAGAAGTTCAGAGTCCTGTCCAGTCTGTTTCACAAGGGAAAGAGAAGAGGCCCAGGAGAAAAACTGAGAACCCAGCCAATCTCCTATAGTAGTTGACCCATTAGCCCCCTTAGATCACTCCAATAGTCTAATTGATTTCTTCTCTTTGCCCAAACCAACTTCAGTGGCTTTTTGTTTTTGTTGTTGTTGGGGTTTTTTTGATACATTGTTTCTTTATGTAGCTCTTAATGTCCAGGAACTAGCTTTGTAGACCAGGCTGGCCTCTAACTCACAGAGACACCTACCTCTGCCTCCTGAGTACTAGGATTAAAAGTGTGAATCACCACTACCTGGCTGGTTTTTGTTTTGTTTTGTTTTGTTTTTGGGGCATGGGGGTTGAGACAGAGTCTCTCTATATAGTCCTTGCTGTCCTGGAACTTGCTATGTAGAACAGGGTGGTTTGTGTCTCTCTCTGCCTTCCCAGGGCTGAGATTAAAAGTGAATGCAAACTGGGTGGTGGTGGCACACACCTTTAATCCCAGCACTTGGGAGGCAGAGGCAAGCAGATCTCTGTGGGTTTGGGACCAGACTGGTCTACAAGAGCTAGTTACAGGACAGGCTCCAAAGCTACACAGAGAAACCCTGTCTCGAAAAACCTGAATGAATGAATGAATGAATGAATGTGAATGCCACCAAGGGTCTAAAGTTAGTTCCACTCACCAAGGCTGGCCTCAGCCAGGAGCAGGTAAGCAGGCACAAGCTCTACTGAGCTCAAGCCGTGCACATTCATGCGGAATCGAAGGGAGTGTAGAGCCGCAGGGACAGCGTCTTCATGTCTTCCTTCAAAAAGATATTTCTGGGCGACGGTGTAGCAGAATTCAATCAAGTGCTTCTGTGGAAGGTGGAAATAGACACTGTGAAAGGCACCGGTGGATACACGCACAGGCAAAGCCAACACCAGGCTGAAGGCACTTGGTGAGCCTGCCTGTACTAGGTTACATGAGATCCAGGGCTGGGATGTATAAAAATGCAAACTTGGGGCCATACATCCACAGTCCAGGAACAGGTATCTTTCATTTCAGTTCAGAACTTGGCAGACAGGAGTTCTGGACATGGGCACTAGATGAACAGTGTACAGTATCCCTGTAGTTCTTAGCATCTTTTATATTACTGTATTTATTTGTGTGTATGTGTGTGTTTGTTTTTCTGACACTTTCATGTGATACCAAAGTTTGAACCTAGGGTGGGGTGCCTGTTAATCAAGCCCCTACCAACTGCTGTGTATCACCGATCTTATTATCATACTTCTAATAAAACTTTAATTTAGCAAAGCTATAGATAACACAGGACAATCTAAAATTTTCTGTCTATAGAAAGACTGTAAGTACCAGAGGACTGGGACCACTGCTTCAAAATAGTGTTTTCATGACAGGAACACTGAACCAATAAACTCTCAACAATATGGTTGTTCACACAAGACCAGACCAGCCATGGATGGGGGCATTTAAAAAGAGCTGTAGGTAGTCAATGGCTGCTGAGAGAGAATCACTTTTCTTCGGGGATGAGCCTCCTGAAGGCTTCCCAACCATACGGGGTCAGTCTTAAATACACACACACACACACACACACACACACACACCATTAATTACAGAAAAAGGAATCTGAGAGGGCAGGAGAACACAGGAGTTGGAGGGGAACAGGCAGAGGTAGAAATGGTGTAAAGTGTACCCATGTATGAAATTCTGAAGAAATTAAAAATTTAAATTTGGGCCCCCCAGTGGTGGCACAGAACTGCAGCAGAGCTGGGTCGTGGCTCCTGTGCCTTGGGGCCCAGGCCGAGAAGCTGCGCTTCGCCCTGACCGTTATCCGCCATGGCGAAACAAGATTTAATAAGAAGAAAATCATTGAAGGAGTAGATGAGCCCCTTTCAGAGACTGGGTTTAAGCAAGTAGCTGCCGCTGGTCGCTTTCTGAACAGTGTGAAGTTTACACACACTTTCTCCAGTGATCTCACGAGGACTAAGCAAACCATATGTGGCATTTTGGAGAAAAGCAAATTTTGCAAAGGCATGGCGGTGAAGTATGACCCCAGACTCCGAGAAAGGAAGTATGGGGTCGTAGAAGGCAAGCCTCTAAGCGAGATGCGGGCCATGGCCAGAGCCGCTGGGGAAGAGTGTCCCGTGTTCACTCCACCCGGAGGAGAGACCCTAGGGCAGGTGAAAGCACGCGCAAAGGGTTTCTTTGATTGCATTTGTCAACTAATCGTAGGTGAGACGGGCCAGAGAGAAAGCGTCTTCCCTGGGGCTCCAGGCAACTGTCTGGAGAGCTGCTTGGGGAGGTATTCCCTGTAGGAAACCGTTTGCAGTTGCACCCTGATGGTGGCACCCTGGTTTAGCAGCCTGCATCTTAGTTGTGAGCCATGGAGCTTACATGAGAAGCCTCTTTGGTTACCTTCTGAGTGACCTCAAATGCTCATTGCCAGCAACACTAGGCAAATTAGAACTCGCGTCAGTCACTCCCAATACTGGGATTAGTGTCTTTATCGTAGACTGTGAGGAAGGACATGAACCAGCAATTCAGTGTTTGTATGAACTTCAGGAACATCTGAACGGAGTGAGCGAAAAGCACTAAGTTTAAAGTCCTTACATTGCAAAACCTCTGAAGGGAGTGCCTTGGCCTCTTGCACTCTCGTCCTCGGCTCCTGCCATTTTAGAAGCAGTTAAGAATTCATGTGGCAGAGCCCACTGGGGTCCTGGCTGTATCAGATGAGAGTGGAAATCCACCCCAAATCAACCTGGTTTTTCCCAGTAGACTTGCCATTTTCTATAGTAATGTTGCCACTCTGTTCCATTATGTTTCTTAACTATTAACATGTCAGGACATCCAGCATTGCACATTAGGGGATTAGTAGCTGCCTTCCACAGTCTTCATTTCATGGACCTTTTTGGTGTCTAGATGATGGTATTGGCTGCTGAAGATAATTGTGTGCTTTTCACTATTTTATCAAGTGTTTGCCAGAAAGAATGGTTTGTATAATTCACTGCATATTTGCAATGGTTATTTCAGAGTCCAAAGTCCTTTAAACTGGCACTTCTTTTTTTTTTTTTTTTTTTTTTTTTTTTTGGTTTTTTGAGACAGGGTTTCTCTGTATTGTTTTGGAGGCTGTCCTGGAACTCGCTCTGTAGACCAGGCTGGCCTCGAACTCACAGAGATCCACCTGCCTCTGCCTCCCGAGTGCTGGGATTAAAGGTGTGCGCCACCAATGCCCGGCCCTAAACTGGCACTTCTTACTGTCATCAATGTGTGTAATGTAAAATGGAAAAACACTAAAGCATCTTTCGTAGAATACAAAAAAAAATTAAACGAAAAAAACAAAACTTTCTGTCTTTATATTTGAGTTAAATATAACAAGAAAACATCTCTTGTTTCCTTCTAATTGATGAATACCCACTGTACTAAACTGAACTGTAGTGCTATCTTGAAAAGTCTTATTCAAAATGATGGCTATTAAGATGTATATGGTGCCTAAAACACTGTAGATGCTCAAGCATGTAATCCCTCTCAGACTGCTGATCTCCCATAGCAGCCCACAGGCAGGTGTTTAAAATTGATGAGTCTGGTTGTTCATAGATTTGTAGCTTTCAGGGGGCTAATTTTGGGGGGCTGGGAAGATGACTCAGTGGGTAAAACACCTGTTGTGCAAGCATGAGGATCTGAGTTCAGATCCCCAGCATATACATAAGAACATGGTAGTATTCACCTATAACCACAGACTAGCAGAGACATCACAGGCTAGCCCAAAAGGCAAGCTTCAGGCTCAGTGAAAGACTTTGTCTCAGAAAACAAGGTGGGAAGCAGCAGAGAAAGATAGTCCAAGTCAACCTCTGGCCTTCACACACACATACACATGCGTGCACATGTACCCAAAGGGGATTAATTTTCAAAATAATGGATATTTTTACTTGGGTGGTGACAGAGGCAGACGGGTCTCTGTGAGTTCAAGGCCAGCCTGGTCTACAGAGCTAGTTCCAGGACAGTCAGTGCTACAGAGAGAAACCCTGTATCAAAGAACCAAAAAAATTAAAATAATGATAATTATATCCTTTTAATGTCATAATATCAATTACTTTTTCTAATCTCCTTTATACCCTGATATATTCCTAACATCATTTTATTTCCTATTATACCAGTGATTTTTTCAACTTCCTAGTGTTGCACCCCTTTAATACAATTCCTCATGTTGTGATCCCAACCATAAAATTATTTTCATTGCTACTTCATAACTGTAATTTTGCTACTGTTATGAATCATAACAAATATTTTTGGAGATAAGAGGTTTGCCAAAAGGTCGAGGCTCAGAGGTTAAGAAACAATGTGTTAAACACAAAAGCTTTCATCATAGTACTTGGCAGACAGATTCTGTGGACTGAACCATGGTCGCCAAAAGTCCTGTGCTGAAACTCTAAATTCTAGTCCCTCGGGATGTGATGGTGTTTGGGTAGAATGTTATCTGAAGAGGTGGTTAAGTTAAAATGGATCCACTCACTCAGATCTAGTCTAACCTATTGGGCATCTTAACTACAGTTTGTGTGTTAGGGTGTGTGTGCATGTGTAGAGGTCAGAGGACAACTTCTGGGTGACAGTTCTCTTCTTTGACCTTGTGGGTTCTGGGGATGGAACTCAGGTCATCAGGCTCAGCAGCAAGTGCCCTTTCCCCTTGAGCACTGCCTGGTGTCTTTATAAGAAGAAAAATTGGACAAGCAAAGAAAATCAGAGATGTGTGCACACAGAGGACCAGATGAAGACTCACAAGAAGACAGACATCCATCAGCCAGGAAGAAAGATCTTAGGAGACACCAAATCTGGGGCTCAGGAGATGACTCAGTAAGTAAAGTGATTCTCAGAAGCATGAAGACCTGAGTTCAGTACCCAGAGAAACCAAGTGAAGAAAGTTAGGTATGGTGTGTACACGCATACTCCCAGCACTGAGGATGCAGCCATAGGCAGAGCCCTGGGGCTCACTGGCCACCTAGGCTAACCTGCTTGGTAAAACCCGGCCTGCTCACCAGATCTCTCACAGACCCTGTCTCAAAAGACCAAACCCAAAACCAAGGTAAACAGCTCCTGAAAAAGGACACCTAAGGTTTTCCTATGGCATTCACATGAAACTCAAACACATGTGCACCCAAAGATACACAGGGTGGGGAGGATAAGACTGAGAGGGCTAGGGGAAGACAAGGGAGGGTGGTGTGGGAAGGAAAAGGGGGGGAATGGGAGGGCATGGGTCAGGGGAGGCACAAACCCTGACTTGGACTTTTAACATGCAGCAGTGTTAAGAATGCCTATTGTTTGTACCACCCTCTCTGTGTATCTTGTTATGGCCACTCAAGCAAACCAGTACAGTGGGTATTCAGTGAACATGTGGGAAATGGCCCACTGAACGGGACTGTGACTGGGAACGTAAAGGCCCAGGCCCTGCCCTCACTACTGGCTATAGGACTTGCCTGTCGCTTCTGCAGCTGCTGCAGGCCGTGCTGCCTTTCTTCCTCCGAGTTGTAGAAGGGCATGGTGGTACGCAGAGGGATTAGCAGCTGACATATCTTCTCATGGATGCTGCCCCAGTCCGCCTTCTGATGCACAGGTCCACTGACAACAAAACACACCGAGTTAACTGGATCTCTGTCTGCTCCCAGCCCAGCTCTGAATTCCAGAAAGTCAGCCTCAACTGCAATGGGCAGAAGTCTGAGCCCTTCCTGAGATAGAAGTCTATCTTCTGTTGCGTCTTTATTTGTATAAAAACTGCACTGGGATCTCTGGCTACCAGAAAAATGCAGATTAAAGCTACCTTGAGATTACAGTCAAAATGGTTATCAAGAAAATAATGTTCTGAGTGTGTCTCCCAACATTCAGGAGACAGAAGTAGACACATCTCTGTGAGTTTGAGGCGTGGAGGGAAAGATGAAACTGGTAGGAAAGACTGCTGATGGGAATGTAAACTCATGCAGCCAGTATGAGATTTCTAAAAAAAAATAGGAGACTGGGGATACCTGTTCACACTGAAGATCACATATGCATGCTGTGGCTCTTACGTTAAGAACAAACACAGCCAAGCATGGTGGTCCACGTCTCTAATCCTAGGCAGAGGCAGGAGACCTTTTTTGTTTGTTTGTTTGTTTTTGTTTTTTGTTTTTCAAGACAGAGTTTCTTTGTATTGTTTTGGAGACTGCCCTGGAACTCACTCTGTAGACCAGGCTGATCTTGAACTCACAGAGATCCGCCTGCCTCTGCGTCCCAAGTGCTGGGATTAAATGCGTGCGCCACCAACGACCAGCAGACCCACTGGATTTTAAAGAGTGTGTTATTTTTGATCTGATTGTCAACTTATCAAACTTCTTTCTGTCACTGGTCATTGATTTCATCGCACCATAACTGAACCTACTTTCTGTGATTTTATTCCTTCCACATTTACTGAGATTCGGTTTATGACCTAGCATATGGTCTACCCTCAAGAACGCTTTATATGTAGTAGAGAGGATGCATATGCTGTTATTAGGGTAGTCTACAGTTGTAGGTTGGGTCTAGTATTGCTCAAGTCTTACATTTCCTCAAGGATCTTCTGTCTAGTTAGTTTGTTCACTGCAGGAAAAGGGATAGTAGAGCTTTCAACTGTGGTCACTGAATTGTCTATCACTCCCATCAATTCTGTCAGCCTCAGCTCTATGTATTTTGAGACTATGCTGCACAAATATATACTGCTGTGCGTTTTTATATTTTCACTGCTGATGACACATTTTCACTTAAGTATGAGACATTTAGCATTAGTACTCTATTATACATCATACACATTCTAAAACAGGTAACTATAATCTAGGGGAAAGGCTGCCAATGTGTTTGTTTTACTTCCAGACAGCAACTATTGCAGGTTGGGGTGCTCTAAGGTCTCAGTTGCAACAAAAGTAGCACAAAAGCAGCCATGGGAAATATATGGCTGCATTCAAGCACTCTCCTCTCCCTCTCCTTCCTTTCTCTTCAAATAACAGAAATACAACCAGCTATTTTCTTTATAAACCATACTACTGTCATAGAAATGATACAAAACATTTTAAAGGTTTTGGGAAGGTGTTAGAGAATTACTGCAAACAGATCAATAAAAAAACACTTAACTGGGATTCAGAAACAGCTATATTCCAGGGAGAGGCTGAGTAACTGAACTATGGAAAAGGTTATGTATCCAACTTCCTGGCCTTTTGTTGCACTGACATAGCTTGCCTTTCTAAACAAACTGAACTTTGTTCACACATTTCTGGGTGCCCTAATTATTCTGCTCTTTCATCCAAACATTCACAGGTTCGGATGTAAGGAGGAGCTGAGATCACAATTACATGGTTTATGCTGTAGATGTGTTTTGTTCAAGTATTATCATGCTTTATTAGCCTGCATCTAGATGTCTTTGGGCAAGGCATTCATTCTAACATTCACTGAAGCTTCTTTTCTTTCTTTTCCTTTCTCCTCTTAGAGAAATCTTAGAATTTATATTGATACTCACCCTCCCAAGTGCTGGAATTACAGGCATGAACCACCACATCCAGATTCCTATCACTTTTTTTTTACTGTTTTTGTTTTGTTTTGTTTGTAATAGAGTTTCTCTAGCTGTCTTGAACTCAGAGATCCTCGGTCTATGCTGGAATTAAAGGCACGTGCCACTACCACCTGGCCCTATTGCTTCTCATCATTAAAATACCACAGGATGCTGGGCAGTGGTGGCACACATCTTTAATTCCAGTACTTCTAAGGTAGAGGCAGGTGGATCTCTGTGAGTTCAAGGCCAGCCTGGTCTACAAAGCTAGTTCCAGAACAGCCAGAGCTGTTACACAGAGAAATTCTGTCTTGAAAAACAAAAACAAAACAAAATACCACTTGACATTTTTTTGCTAACCAGTGAAGGCATTTAAATTTGTATCACATACATTCAATTAAAGGAAAAATATTGCAATTACTGGTATCTATATGCTATGATCTGAGGTATTTCATCCACAATCTACTATTAATGCTTCTTGTTTTTTTTGTTGTTGTTGTTGTTGTTTGTTTGTTTGTTTGGTTGGTTTGGTTTGGTTTTTGGGTTGTTTTTTTTTTTTTTGACAAGGTTTCTCTATATTGTTTTGGAGCCTGTCCTGGAACTCATTCTGTAGACCAGGCTGGCCTGGTACTCACAGAGATTCACCTGCCTCTGCCTCTGCCTCCCAGGTACTGGGATTAAAGGCATATGCCACCAACACCGGGCTTTGTGTGTTTTTATAAAAATTATCCTTCTTAAAAATGTTCCATTCCAGGCCAGCAAAATGGCTTCCACCAAGCCTTCATGGCCTGGGCTTGAGTCCACATGTTGAAATGGAGAACTAATCCCTGAAAGTTGTCTCCTGCTCTGCACACACACCAACACAAATAAATAAATAAATGTACTGTTTCTTAATGTTCTATCACAAGGGAACATAGTCACAATTCATGGTATAGAACATAAATGTATTTAGAAGAAAGTAGAAGGAATTTCACCAAAATGTCAGGGTTTTTTTCTTTTTCTTTTCTTTTTTAACTTTGAGTGACAGGATTATGGATTTTAGTCCACAGTCTAATTGCCAAGATTGAGGATGTACTGAGTAAGACTTGGAGGAAGGGCATCTGGAATTATCTGAGAAAGGGAGGTTTACTCTGCACTTGGGACCATTGTAATAGCCTCTGAATTGGCTAGGCAGGATCTACTCTCCAATGTACCACACTGCGGCTGTCATCTTCATGAATGCAAATATCACATCAACTCAAAACCACCCATATGGCTTTCCAAGGGATAAATTCCAAATCCCTTCATCTTGCGTCACTGCCTGACCTAAACCTTTATCTTCTTGGTTCAAACTCCTCCTCCTAACTTATCACAGCCTTTTAAATGTGTTTTTTACTTGACTCATGGGAAGAAATACATCTTATGAATGATATATTATTTATATATTTAGACTGTGACTTATTCACTCACGGCCTGCTATGTCCCAGTCTGCACTATGGAAATCACTGGCTGCCCCTTACACCGTTGGCTTTCTTTCCCACCTAGTTTTCAGACAACTGTCCTTTCACCCTTTGTCCAAACCAGTCCCAGAGAGCCGGAAAGACTACCCTTCTTCACACAAGTAAGCCTCTGCTGGCCTCTCACTATTCAACCAAAATGTCATCTCCTTAGAGAAACCTTTTTAGATACTGCTCCAGTCACCATGTTTCTATCCTCAGACATCTCAGGGACAGTGTGTATCATGTACAATGAATAATAATGGCTTTTAAGAACAAGTGAGTTGGCTATGAGTTAGGTTGAGAATGTAAACATCCTAGTCTTGTGAGGTCTCAGACAATCTAGGGATGGGTGTGTGATTTAGCTGGTAGTGTTTGTCTAGTATGCTCCAAGTCTGGGATTTTATCTCCAGGACCACACAAACCAGGCATGTTGACACAGGTGCCCTTGATGGATGTGGGTAGGAGGATCCAAACTTCAATCCTTAGCTTACATAGTGAGTTTGAGGCCAACTTGACTACTATGAAAAAGGATGGGGGGCTGGGGAGGTTAAGAGCACTGACTGCTCTTCAAGAAGTCCTGAGTTCAATTCCCAGCAACCCAACCCTCTGCAATTAGATTTGGCGCCCTCTTCTGACATGCAGGCATACATGCTGGCAGAAATCTTTTTTTTTTTTTTTTTTTTTTTTTTTTGGAGGCTGTCGGTCCAGCCTGGCCTCGAACTCACAGAGATCCGCCTGCCTCTGCCTCCCGAGTGCTGGGATTAAAGGCGTGCACCACCAACGCCCGGCTACATAAGAAATCTTTAAAAAAGTAAAAAAGGATGGGGAGGGGAGTATTGATGCAAATACATATAAACTGATCTCCGCTTTTATTACTAGATCCCCTACACTCAAACTCTTAGCTATGCACTGGCCAACTAGTCTTTAGAGCCCTCTGTATCCTTTTCAGAGCAAGAACGCTGGCTCTCGAGCTCGTTAACTTCAGACCAACCATCTACTGTCAGAGAAGCTGTCTGCCCAATTTCTTACATTTCCTTTGACTTCTGACATTTCTCCCTGAAATTACCATTTGTTTACTTCACTGTCTTCCAAAGTGCAAGCAGTATTTGAGCTTTGAGGGAATGGACCTACAGAATTGGTCCATTAAGTTCAGCACCTAGAATGGCGCGCGACACACTAACAGTAGGACTCCTGGGAAACATCAGGAGAAAACCCAGAAAGCCAATAGAGTGGGAGAGGAGGCAGACGAGGCCACAGGAGTCCTAGAGACGCTTCTTCAAGCCTGCTCCGGCTTTGTGGGGGCGGGGGGGGGAGTGGTCGTTGGCAGAAAGGGCCCTGTACACAGATACACACACAAGGCTCGAACCACGGTTGAGAGACAGGAAGGGGGCAAAGGCTCCAGGCACCACGTTCCAGGGCCTACCAGTAATAAGTGACTGTACAGGCCGTGCACATCCGCTCGGCCGGGGCTTCGCACACCTCACAGACGAGCCGGCGCCCCTTGGGCACCGCTAGCGGGTAGATTACGTTCATGGTGCAGCCGACCGCTTCTGCCTCTAGGACGGTTGCCTGGCCAGTCCACAGGAGACACAGACGTCACGTGACAACCGCGGGCTAGCGGGGTTGTCCGGATTTCAAGGGCAAAGGGGCGGAGCAGGGCGGTACTAACAGCGACAATTGAGGAGGGGAGAGCGCAAATCCCAAAGGTTAAATGACTAGAATGTGACTGCAATAGAACCCAAGCTTGGGGAGGATGTACGGTGGCCGTAAAGGTAAAAAAACACAAAAACAAACAAACAAAAAAACCACTTAGCTTTCCAGATTAGGAAACACACAGGAAGTATAATTTTTCTGGATTTTCGAGAAAGATGCTTCCTTTCAACACATTTCGACGGATTCTGACGGAACAGCGTGCATTTTTCAAGCCCTGGCGAGGTCAGGACCTAGGACTAGAGGGAACGCCCACAGTCACTATTTGCGGTTGCGCGTAGCCCAGGTATCCGGAAGGGGGCGTGGCGCTGGCGGCCGGCGTGCCGGGATCGCAGTGGTTCCTGCGTGCTAGTCTCGCTTGCCGATGGCGGAAATGGACCTGGCTGCAGACTTGCCGCCGCCCGAGGGTGCTGCGCGCTGGGCCGACGTTATGGCTCGCTTTGCGGCCAGGCTGGGCGCGCAGGGCCGGCGGGTGGTGCTGGTCACGTCAGGAGGCACCAAGGTCCCCCTGGAAGCGCGAGCCGTGCGCTTTCTGGACAACTTCAGCAGCGGGCGACGCGGGGCGAAGTCAGTCGAGGTCTTCCTGGCTGCGGGTTACGGGGTCCTGTTCTTGTACCGAGCACGCTCGGCCTTCCCCTATGCCCACCGCTTCCCGCCTCAGGCCTGGCTGTCGGCCCTGCGACCTTCTGGCCCAGCCCAATCAGGGAAGCTGAGTCTGGAGGCCGAAGAGAACGCCCTCCCGGGCTTTGCTGCAGCATTGCAGAGCTACCAAGAGGCAGCTGCTGCCGGCACCTTTCTGGCCGTAGAATTCACCACTTTGGCGGACTACCTGCATTTGCTGCAGGCTGCGGCCCAGGCACTCAACCCACTAGGTGAGGGCTGTACTGTAAGGAATCCAAAGTTTTCTTGGAGGTAGAGCTGTTCTTCCAGCCTCTTTTCCTTAATGTTTGCTGCTTACTCCGGACCCAGGGAACCCGAGTTGAAAAGAAGCCGATCCCATCCCCTTGGCCGATTTCTTAGACTCTCTGTTTTGTTGTTGTTGTTGTTTTAAACAGGCTCTTCTGCGATGTTTTACCTGGCTGCGGCAGTGTCAGATTTCTATATTCCTGTCTCCGAAATGCCTGAACACAAGATCCACTCATCTGGTGGCCCACTGCAGGTGATGGGCTCTCTTCCAGAGATCTGACCCCCTATAACCAGGCTTGGGTTACTTTCCTCTTGATCTGGAGATGGCCTTTCTGCATTCTGTATGAGCTAGGCACTGGGAATTCAGAGATGACTAAGACACAGCCCTCCCTTCAAGGACCTCCCAGTCTAGCGAGGGCCTGGACAACAGCCATAATCACAGATCAGAATGATAAATGCTGTAGTGGAGGTATGTACAAAGTGCAGTCAGATCTTGGGGTAGTGAGATGGGGGATCAAGGTTTCCTGGAGATGACTCATCAGATGGGCAGAGGGCATAATAAAGTGGGGAAGGTCATTCCAAGTAGAGTTACAAGTTGGAGTTTGCAATTGGGTAATGTTCTGTGAATGAAGGGCTTTGGTAAGACTGAAGAGGCAGCTTGCCTTTTCCTGGGGGTGGGGGAGGGACTTTGTATTCCTTCTAAGACACTTGGACTTTATCTTACTAAGGTGGATGAAAAAATTAACAGTTTTTGTTTGGGCATAATGGCACATTCCTTTAATTGCAGTTCTCCCACAATAGATGATCTCTGACTTTAAGGCCAACCTGGTCTACATAGTGAGTTTTAAGCCAGCCAGGGCTGCACAGTGAGACCCTATCTCAAAATAAATTAAAGAATATTCTAGGATTTTGAAAGATGAGGTAGGAAGTAGAGTGGGTAAATAAGGGTTTTTTGTAGTATAAGGAAAAGGTATGTGACTGAGAACTTAAGGTGACTTGGTGCCTTGGAACCTGCAGGAATTCATAGACATCTATTGGATGATATAAATTGGTTTATAGAGGAAGCTATTTGAAGGGCACCCTTGGGACAGTTGTCTTACACATTTTGGAGTACCTCCTGTGTGTCAAGTGCTAGTGTGGTACCTAGACATGAAGAAAAATACACTGCAGTTGTTGGCACTGCTTGCACTCTGCAGGGGAATGGAATCCCTAGTGCACACCGCTAAATGCCTAGAACAGAGAGAGAGAGTGGGAGCGTGTATGGGATTCCTGTCACACTTGCTAACAGACCTCATACTCTTTAAAAACCCAAGGAGCTCCAGTTTATCCCATATGCTTTATTTATCTTGAAAAATACACAGAATGACTCAGTATTACCCTTTGATTGTATAAGGTTTTAGGAAAGAGAGCGGGAACTTTAATCACATGTGTCCTCAGTGCTCTGTTGTGACTGTTGTATTTATACTTTTAGTTAACAAATTAAAAAGAAATTGTAAATAGAAACCAGTAGCTGCTCCTCCAGTTTATGACATTTTAGACTGAGAGGTATAAAACCCAGGATTATTGGACTTTTGTCTAACATTTCCATGAGCGGATTACATTTATCTTCAGATTTTGTAAAAAAAAAACAAGAGGAGATAAATATGTTCAAAATACAAAGACTTAGTATTTAAAAGAGTTAAAGGGAGCACTGGGCATGGTGGCACCTCACACCTTTAATCCCAGCACTCTGGAGACAGAAGCAGACAGATCTGAGCTTGCAGCCAAACTGGTCCATATGCCAAGTTCTAGGTCAGCCAGGACTGCATAGTAAGATCCTGTCTTCAAAAGTAGTAACACTAATAAAATAAAAAGGACTGTTTGAGGAATTGTAACAGTCAGACAGAATAGTACTGGTTCAAAGTAAATGTGAGGCCTTGAACTTAGGTGCTGTGAACCATATATATATATATGCATCCTAGTCTTTAGGCATTAGTATGCTCTAAGAAGTTACACAATGAGAAATTCCCACTCCCCCCCTTTTTTCCGTTTTCCTTTTCGAGACAGGGTTTCTGTGTAGCTTTGGAGCCTGTCCTGGAACTAGCTCTGTAGACGAGGCTGGCCTCAGAACTCACAGAGATCCACCTGCCTCTGCCTTGAGTGCTAGGATTAAAGGTGACCGTCCCAAGAAATCCCATTTTAAATTAGGCAAAACTCAGTCCCTGATTCCTTAGATTCCTGGTAGGCACTGACCAATAAATATTTAGCTATTGAACTTTGCTCTTTCCAATACAGATAACAATGAAGATGGTGCCAAAAATGCTTTCTCCTCTGGTTAAAGATTGGGCTCCCAAAGCTTTTATAGTTTCCTTTAAGCTGGAGACTGACCCCGCCATCATAATTAATCGTGCTCGGAATGCCTTGGAAGTTTATCAGCATCAAGTGGTGGTGGCCAACATCCTTGAGTCAATACAGTCCTTTGTGGTCATTGTAACCAAAGACTCAGAAACCAAGTTACTGCTGTCAGAGGATGAAATAGCAAAGGGCATGGTGATAGAAGAGAAGATAGTAGAAGACCTTCGGTCGCGACACACAGCTTTTATATGTGACAAAACTGAAGGAGATGGTCATCTAGCATCGAAAATCAGGGTTCTTGACACTGACAAGAAGTAAAGTGAATCCTTTGCCAAGGATAAAGACAATGAGGAGACAATGTGCAGGCAAATAACTTGGTGTTTTATTTCTGACTGAACCACTGGCACACTCATCTTGATTTGGAAATTGGACAAGAACTGTTTTTCACTTTTTACAGTGCTGATTGGAATTTCATGTTCTGCAGAACAGAGAGGGGACTGAACCTAAATGTCGGCCTACTATACAATGAAAGGATTGTGGGTACATGAATGCTCATGCTCTGAAGATCAGATATTTGTCAAGTGCCTACCATGTGCCAGGGTTTGTGAGCTGGGAGGGTTTAAAAGTTGAATAAACACATCTCATTCGGGAACTGGATGTACAAAATTAAGTGCAATAAAGTATGTGCCCACAAACTATGACACATGGAAAGGGTGGAGTTTTGGGTTTTTTTTTTTAAGATTTAGTTATTTTTATTTTGTGTGTTTGAGCATTTCTGCCTGCATATATGTCTGCACCATGGGTATGCTATACTTTTGGAGACTAGAAGAGGGAGTCACATTCTCTGAACTCCAGTTCCAGAGGTGGTGAGCCTCCATGTGGGTACTGGGAATCAAACCTGGGTCTCTTTTTAAAAATGTACTTTTACTAAAGCCGGGCGTTGTTGGTGCAAGCCTTGAATCCCAGCACTCTGGAGGCAGAGGCAGGTGAATCTCTGGGTTCAAGACCAGCCTGGTTTACAGAGCGAGTTCCAAGACAGCCTCCAAAACAATACAGAGAAATCCTATCTCGAAAAACCAAAAAAAAAAAAAAAAAAAAAGTAGTAAAACAGGAATAAGACAGACACCTCCCTAAGACGACAAATCTATCACATTTACTTTTTGCCTCTTGTCCTAGATTTATTCCATACTTAAATAACACTTTTCAAATATTTTAGATCTGTTCTTTGGGTTAGATAACCCGCCTGGGGTCTGGCAGGAGCTAAGTGAATTCTTCTGCCCTGAGGAGCCTGCCTGTTAGAGTGTGGGAGTGGGAGTTGCTTAGCCAACTGGGCCTGGGTACTTGACTTAATATCAGGTTGCTTATCTACAGTGTAGGGTTAAAGCAAAGCCGGGGCCCCAGCAATATCCTGTGTAAAGAGAAGCTTTTTCCTTGAGAGGAGCCTTCCCGCCAGCCTGGTTTCAGAGCCGCATCAGTCCTAAATAAACACACAGGAGGCTATATTAATTATGAAGCTGTTGGCCTTTGCTTGTTTCTTACTGGCTAGCTCTGCCTTAAGTAATTACCCCATAATTGTTAATCTAAGTATTTCTCTTACCGGAGAATAGTTCCGGGCTTCCTACCCCATGGCGGTTACATGTCGACTCTCCTGTGTTTCTCCTTCCCAGAATCCTCCTGGACTCCTAGTCCCTCCTATCTTGGTTCCCTATTGGCTCAACAGTGCTTTATTGACATAAGACTTCCCCAACAATCCTGTGTCTGGCACATCACACTCAGTAAGTTGATACAATTACTGTTTTTCTCAGCAGATCAGGCTGAGATCATTGACCATGAGTCCCTGAGAAGTTCTCACTCCTGTTTTGGAGTAAGAGTATATGCCTAGTGCAGAAAAACACAGTAAATGACCCATAGGATAGTTCTGAAAGCAGTTGGGGGAGAGGGAAAATGCCATTTTTTAAAAGAATTTATTTATTACATACACGGTGTTCTGCCTATATACCAGAAGAGGACACAAGATTGAATTATAGATGGTTGTGAGCCACCATGTGGTTGCTGGGAATTGAACTCAGGACCTCTGGAAGAGCAGTGCTCTTAACCTCTGAGCCATCTCTCCAGCCTGGAAAATGCCATTGTTAAATAGGTAGTGTTCTACATAAATATTTGGTTTAGGGACTGGTGGTGAAAATGGTAGTGCAGTCCTTGGGTATATCCATATCACTGCAAAAACCTGGCTTGTAGAACAACCCATGTCATGGAGTTGGGAAGGATAGCCTGAAGTCCTACTGGGGAGACAGTTCAGTACAGTTCAGTGGGTTTTAGTTACAATATAAACAGTGGTGGCAAGATGAGTAGGAACAATTAAATTTGGAAGTGTGTGATAATATTTATGGTTTATTAAAGCCACCTCCTAGCTTCTGGCTGCTGGGATTAAAGGTGTGTGCCTGGCTTTGTGGATTGTCGCTGACTTTGCTTTCTGAATCCTCAGGCAATCTTTAATAAATCATAAATTATATATCACCACAGAAGTGTGATTTCCAGCACAGGATAACACTGCTGCAGCCAGGAGTGAAAGACTCTTGAAACACACAGTTGAGATGAACCTTAGGTCTAGTTGGCAAAAACCTTCAAAGCAGTGTTGTAAAAGATTGGCTTTCCTCTCTACACCCGTGGCCTTGGGGTGCTGAATCATCTTCGTATGTTGGGTTATATGCTACTAGTACTAGGTGGTCTTCAAGGTATTATTCAGGAGGGAGCCACTTTGGATTATTTTATTAAGCTCTGAAATAACCACCAGCCTATTGTATGGACTCACTGCTATTTCTTCCTTCAGTTTGTTAATCTGCTCTGAAAACAGTATTTACCTAGTAAGAAGTTCCAGGAATCTGTATATGTGTTTGCAAAAGGGGACATGAGTCAACAAAGGCAAACAGAAAGGCATTTGGTCTAAACTGAAGGATCAAGGAACCTTTCCTAAGTTGAAGCTGGCAAATGGACATGGGCTGTTGGTCGCGGTATGGTAGTGGTGAGCATTTTAGATCAGAGAGGGGATCGTTGTATCAGAAAATAGGGGTGCCATCCAGGTGATTCAAAAGAGGTTGACAGCTACAGTAAGACCAAGAAATGTTTAAGTGGTGTTTTGGATGCTAGCAAAGCAAACGCCTCAAAAAAAAAATCAAAATTCAGCTTTGGCAATCACTTGGAATCTTGCAAAGAACATCTGAAGATTTAAGTTAAGCCTGCGCTAAAAATGTGGCTTTGTGGTTACTAGCATTTGATGCTCTTGAACCAAGATTGGTTCCCAGCACTCATAAGAGGTCTCACAAAGACAGTAACTCAGCCGGGCGTTGGTGGTGCACACCTTTAATCCCAGCACTCGGTAGGCAGAGGCAGGCAGACCTCTGTGAGTTTGAGGCCAGCCTGGTCTACAGATCGAGTTCCAGGACGGCCTCCAAAACAATACAGAGAAACTCTGGCATGCATGATGTACACATAAACTCATCAAGGCAAAGATACATGCACATAATCAAATCTTTAAAAAAATATCTATTTTGCATTACATAAGTAAGAAGCCGAACAAGTGCTTAGATTTTCTTAAGGATTCCAGCCTTCATGGTAATTCTGGTCTCTGGTCAAGCCCAGTTTCTGCGTTTTCACAATAACTGACTGGGTCCGAAAATGTCAAAATTTACCTCAGGACACTAGTGGTTAAGACGAATCTGGCCCAAATTCAGAACTGCTGACATGCATAGCATCCTGCCTTAATAGCTTGTTGTTTTTTTTTAGTTTTTTGTTTTTTGTTTGTTTGCTTTAGGCAAGGTTTCACTCTATAGTCCAGGTTACACTGGAATTTACTATGTAACACAAGCTGGCTTCAAACTCAATTTCCTCTTATGCTGGAATTATGAGTCCACACGCCCAGTTTTTAAGTCCCCTATAGAAAAACAAATAGAAGGAGAATAGATTGAGCTAGACCGGAAACAATTCGTGAACTAGAACCCTATGTCAAGTTATGTAGACGCAGCACACGGTTGCTATGGTCACTGTTGCCTCCAGAGCCAATGGCGTAGTTCGTAGATCCTGGAGGCCAATGGTGTGCGCTGTAACTACAGTCACCACAGGAAGGACGGCCTTTAGTACCCAGGGCGTGCGCGGTCTCCAAGGCTCCAGCCTGACGCGCTTGCGCGTCTCCCGCTGAGCTCCGTTGTCATGACAACACTGGTCGGTTGTAGTTGAGCGACCCCGACTTTTTGCTCTCTTAGGACAATTCCCGGTGGCGGCCCTAAGCCTACCTCAGGTAGAGGACCGACCCCCTCTTCCCGGCACATTCCGGATCTTTCCGGCTCCCCGTGAGCTCGTTGTGCCCGGCCGGGTCGCGGTTCGCCCAGGAGAGGCGTGCTTCTCTCTCTAGTTAGCATCCGGAGGTGACTGTTCCTGAAAGTCATAAAGGCCCCGGAGCCACCACTGTGCCCCGCGCGTGGGCCTAGGGAAAGGATTGTGGGACCAGCTTCGTCGTGCACAGCCTTGCATCTGGATGAAGCTCTGCAGGCCTTTGATCACGCCAGCATCCGAGGTCATCAAGTCAGTTACCTTCTGCCTTTCAGCCTTCAACTCCATTCGCTTCTCTCATCATTCAAGCACTGGTTCCCTTATCCTGTTCATCCCACAACCATCTCCACCTTTCCGTTTCCACGCTGTGCATTGTTGAATGTCCCTGCGTCTCTACCACTCTGTCACCTATAGGCCACCTACTTCCGTTTCCCTACCGCAGGGCTTTGCATGGCTGCACATTTCTCATTCTCCAGCCCTGCAGTCGCTGTGAAGATTTTCCATTTCTCTGCACTGTTGCAAACTCTCTGTCTTGGGTGAACTTGAAATGGGAAAAGTAAACGCCGCAAATGCATGTATTAGGCTGTTGCACACCTACTGTGTTTTGAAAATAGAAAAAAAATTAAATGTCAGTTTTGGACTTATTGTCAGCCATACACACATATACCATATACAAAAGTTGTTCCTTGTTAAGTACTATATTAGACATAAATTTAGGTAACATTTATACTTGTAAAAAATGTCATTCAAAAATGATTGCATAACAGGATTTGACTTTTAGGCCAATGGACACCCAACACCCAGGGAAGGTGGGATTTGCTAGAGTGGAGATCTTTGAAATTATCCATGTGTCTCTTCTCTTTGTCTAGGTTTCTAAATTAGAAAACAGTTTTGGTGAGGAGAACCAAACAAGAGCAAATTAAGATAGATATTTTTGGCAAAGAAGCAGGCCCAGTGCCCTCCCCCCTTCCCCCCTCCCTGCAGAGAGACTAATACAGTTCTTAGTACAAAAAGGGAATAATTTAGGTCCAGTGAGAATTTTGTTTAGCCTGGGAGGTATGATTTAACTCATACTTTCCTCTCATGGTAGGCTTTGCTAGTTGGCTCTTACTATTGCTTTTTTCAGTGTTCAGGTTTAAATGTAAACCTAGGTTTGAGGATCAATAAATTTACATTGTAAACAGAGACTTTGGGAGCTGAAACAATATTTTGATCTCTCAGGACATTAAAGCAGTGTTTTATGTTGAGGGTGAGGTCCAATTTACAAATGTGGAAAAGTTTAGTTGTCTACACTAAGTTGGAAAGGAAAAATATTCTGCAACTTTTCTAATTTTTCTCATTAAATGAAACTAAGTAGAATTCCAGGCCGGGCAGTGGTGACACGCACCTTTAATCCCAACACTCCTGAGGAGAGGCAGGTGGATCTCTGTGAGTTTGAGGCCAGACTGGTCTACAGAGCGAGTTCCAGGACAGTCTCCAAAGTTACCCAGAGAAACTCTGTCTTGAAATACCCCCCCACACACACACCCAAAGAAAAACCTAAGTAGAACTCCTTGGGGAGACACACTGAGGCAATTAGGCTCTCTTTTACACGGTGCTTCCTCCTCCAGTATGTATTGAATAAACATTATGACAAAGTTAAAGTACAGGTTTTTTCCTGTTCCCCTCGAACAGTTCCAGACCTGGGCTGGGGTGAAGAGATTTTAAGAGGCAATTACCAGGCATGGAGTAACAGTTTGGTGTGTGCTCCCGACCCCTAATCAGCAGTGGCCAGGACTGCTGCGGTAGTCCTACTGCAGAACGTCTCTTGTACCAAAGAAGATCCCGTGGGAATGGCGCCAGGACTGAACACCATCCTAACTTACCCAGCAGGGGCTTTTGTATTCCACCTCAGTTCACATGTGTGCTTTTTACGTACTGATGGTGTACATTTTTCTGCATCTTTCTCTTAATTTGTGTGTTAAGCGTTTCTCGCATTGCTACCTTATTTTCAACTTTTTAGAAAGCATATTCTATTTAGGAATTGAAACAACCTCTGAATCATATTCTTGGGTTTAAGATTATGTATTTTCTATTGCATTTCTATAGAAGGAAGGACAGTTAGGGTGAAAAGTCATATGATAGGCTATTCCAGTTTGGTGGCCGTGTTACTTGATTGTTCCTTAGCAGTCACTCAAGGACCACGCTGTTTGCTCAGAGTCAGAAAGTGAGTTTCTGGTTCCTCTGTTGTAATCAGGGCCCCTGCTCGGAGAGAATGAAGGAACAAGCAGAAATGACTGCTCCTAGACCGTTTGCCCTCTTTCCCTTTAAAATTCATGTTACTGTCTGTTTACTGACACTTCCTTCAGCGTACCATCTCATCCTTTATGTGGGAGGTTTTAAAAGGCTTTAGAGGACTAAAAACATCTCAGGATACACTTGCTTAAGATGCCTAATGATCATTTCTTCAGTATCTACTTTGAAGAGAAGACTAAATTCATATACTTTGTTAAATGGGGGCAGATTTAGGTACAGTTTAAATATCAGAGAATTTATAATTCAAAGGATGTGTTTTATCACCTCAAGATCAGCTGTATTAGAATTTTAAGATTTCTCAACCACCAAATCTGAGTTCACTTGGGGGTAAATATTGTTCTGGGATGTCCTGGCACCATTCCAGGCTGAGGGACTTGGCTGTGCAGAGTCAAGGAACTAACTGTAAGCAGCAAGCTGGGAGCGGTGGTCAGATGGCATGAGAGCTAACACAGAAGAGAATCGGAAGAAGTGAGACAGACAGACGGGAACCAGGCTGTACGGAACTCGGGTGCCGAGCGAAGGGGTTGGAGCTCTTCCTGAAAGCCATGCAAACATTAAGCAGCAAGTGATCTGCCTTGAGGATGAGCCTCTCGGGGGCTTTGCAGAGCGCAGATTGGATGGGCGCCAGCATGACAGCAGCAACTCGGGTTACAACTGCTGCTGTGCTCTTCTGAGCATGTCATGAATGCCTACACTAAGCCAGCAAGCATAGGGAAGACGAATCAGAAGTGAGAAAAGGGCTAGCAGCTACAGATTTGGTGACTGATGATAAGGTGGATGGCGAGTTATTGAGGAAGACACCCAGGCTGTAGCATTGTAGCATTGGTGATGATAACTATGGAATACAGAAGGTAGACAATGGATGTGCACTGGTCTCAGTCCACCCACTTTATATTGACCTTCCACCCTGTGGCCTGTTTTCCTCCTCCTGTCCTCTCTTGAAGGTTAGGCCTAAGGGACCACATCAGTGCTGCTGCTTCCAGCCCATTTCCACCTACAACTCTTTTTTTTTTTTTTAACTAGGCAAAGAATTTTATTAACCCCTTTCCAAACTTTATTCCCAGGCTTCTTCAGCTTTATTTGCTGCAAAGAATGAATTGTGTTTCAGCAAAAACTGAAAAGAGCTGCAGTGTCCAGGGGGCTTGGGCTTAAAAATATTAGAGATCTAGATTTTATCAGATCCATAAACAAAAGAATTTTAAAAAGCAGTCATGATACAGGTGACTTCTGCAAGTGTCACCTTCTTTAGAAGTCGCCTCAGTTCAGTTTGCCTCATTCTTAGAAGCCTCATCAAAATTCTCCACCAGATCTGGGACTTCATCATCATCATCCTCTCCAGTAGCAAGTGGTGCTTTTCCATCCACAGATTGTTTGGGCAGAGCTTCAGCCAGTCTCCTTAAACTAGCCAGACTGTCTGCTCCAAGCTGGTTTAGGATGCTGGGAAGCATTTCTGTCAGCTGCTTTGTCTCAGCGTGGCCTGAAATGGTGAAGGTGTTTGCTGCCAGAGACGCCTGAACTTTAGGGTTGTTAAAATGGATCACTGTTCCTTGGTTTGTAAACATGTTCACCTCTTCAATACCAGAGATATTGTTCACCCTAACTTTCTTTAAGGAGAACTGCAGTTTTTTATCGTCTGCTGTGGCTGTTCTGTGAACCACCTTCTTTCGGCGAGCAGTCCCTTTCCCACCAATGCCCATTTGCGCCTGCGGCTTGGCCAGTTCTTCCTGGTTCATGATCGTTTCTTTCATCTTGTCAGAGTGGAAATGGGGCCGCGCGGGGGACTAGGGTTCGTGCTCAGGGGGCTCGGGCGGACCGCTGAGATAAGGCGCACACACGCCCCACCTACAACTCTTATGTTTTTGGTTGTGAGCCTAGCCTTTAACGGCTGAGTCATTTCTCCAGCCCTCCACCTACAATACACTGAATGAGAATTACACACGTGGAGGAGGGCCCAGTTCACTGAGTAATTAACCAAAGGTCTCAAAAGTTTGAACGGAGAGAAACGAAGCATTGGCCTTTTCTGAAGTGATGTGTGGGCTTAGGGCTGCAAGAGTTGTTTCAGCCTTGCTAATGAGAAGCTTAGGATGTCCTGCTGAGCAGGATTCACGGAGAAACCCAGGCAAAAGTGCATCAGGAAGCCAGGCATGGTGGTGAATACCTTTAATCTCAGCAATAGAGGCAGAAGCAGGCAGAGCTCTGTGAATTCAAAGCCAGCCTGGGCTACACAGGGAGTTCCATGCTAGTCAGGGCCACATGGTGAGACCCTGTCAAAGAAAAAAATCAAGAGTCTCGTGAGCCAGGTCATCCCTGATGTCCCTGAGCATTTAGAAGGTAGAAGTGGAAGGATTAGAACTCTGGGTTAGCTGAGCTTGAGTCCCTGATCTTCTGTTTCTGCCATCTCAGGAATCACAGGTGTGTGCTACCACAGCTGCTGCCTTCATAGTTTATCCTTTCAGTACGGTTCTTGAGGTAGCAAGGAACAAACAGCTGTGAGTGACAGGAAGCTCAGGACCGTAATTGAGTGGGTGGGGAGTACAGCTCTGCAACAGAGTGCTTGTCTCACACATACGGATCCTCGGGGAAGACAACTGATGTGGAGGAGAAGATGGGTTGTTAGATGGCTTTGCAGGTGTGAGCGATCTGCAGAACCCACAAAAAAATCTGGGTGTCATGGCTTGCATCTATAATAACAGCACTACTAATGGTGTGATGGGAAGTAGAGACAGGAGAATGGCCCAGAATCCCACAGGCCAACTAACCCAGAGTATGCAGATCAGTGGAAACAAGAGAAACCCAGCCTCAGCACAGTGGTTTAGTCCATTATCATCATGGTGGCATGCAGACAGATACAGTGCTGGAGAGGTAGCTGAGTTCTACATCTAGATCAGCAGGCAGCAGGAAGAGAGTGACACTAGGCCAGGCTTGAGTGTCTGGGACCTCACAGCCCACCCCCAGTGACACACTTCCTCTACTACTACACCTACTCCCACAAGGCCACAATTCCAATAATGCCACTCCCTATGAGTCTATGGGGGCTATTTTCATTTAAACCACCACACTCCTATTGGTCAGAACTTGGTCACATGAGTATGTCTAGCACTAAAGAAGGCAGTTATTTGATTGTTAAGGGTAAAACCTTATTTCTGAGGAAGAAGGAAAAGTACAAATTAAAGTTAAAGGACATCTGGATTCTCAGCCATATACCTATGTTTGTTCCAACTTGAATGCTGTTCTTTTTTTGTTTTGTTTTTGTTTCCTGAGACAGGGTTTCTCTGTATTGTTTTGGAGCCTGTCCTGGAACTCACTCTGTAGACCAGGCTGGTCTCGAACTCACAGCAATCCGCCTGCCTCTGCCTCCCGAGTGTTGAGATTAAAGACGCCCGGCTTGTTCTTTCTTACTGCTTTTTTTTAAAAGGTCTTGCTAGGTAGCCCAGGTTAGCCTTGGACTTGCAGTCCTCCTGCCTCTGCCTCCTGAGCACTGGGATCACAGATGTATCCTGCCATGCCTTGAGACTTTTTCTAGATGGATCTGGAACATTAGAGACAGCATGTTATTTAATCCAGTTACTCAATGAGATAAACACCACTATTATACAAATGGGGGTGTAAGAAGTTAAAGATGTCTAACAGCTACACAGTGATACAGCCATCTATTGAACCAACAAAGATGTGCCAAACTGCTGCCACAGTAGAGGAGAGCAGAGAGTCAAAGTGTGTTCATGGGACAGCATTTACATATCCATAATAGAGGAGGAGTCTGGAAAGAACACTGAATAAAACAGGCTAGACAAGAACGCAGGCAGAACAGCAGGATGTCACAATGCAGAATGAAGAAATCTTTCATGGAAGAGTGAACAGATTTTAGGGGTGCATCATATAGCACAGATCAGTTGAAGAAACAAGGCACTCCAAAATGAAAAAAATTTTAAAAGACCTTTTTTATTACTTATACGGTATTCTGCCGGCATGTATCCCTGCACTCCAGAAGAGGGCACCAAATTTGAGGATACCAGATCTCATTATACATGGTTGTGAGCCACCACGTGGTTGCTGCTAATTGAACTCAGGACCTCTGGAAGAGCAGTCAGTGCTCTTAACCTCTGAGCCATCTCTCCAGCCCTTGTCCTTTATTATGTATCATTTGCAATACACAAAAATACAAGAGCCTCAGGTGTACCTGAGACATCATGTGACCAAAGTCATGGAATGGCTTCAATGCCTCCTTACCAAAACAATCATTGTTTTCCACAAGGATTCTTCAAGTCAAAGTAGTTCTGAAAAACAGCTGTTCATTCTAATATCTACCCAATACAGTGATTCTGCTAAATTCCTACAACAACAAATGAAAATAGAAGTCACCTGTAAGAACAGGAAATCAACCTGGTCTTGGTGGCACATGAGGCAGAGTTAAGAGGATCTCTGTGAGTTCGAGGCTAGCCTGGTCTATAGAGTGAGTTCCAGGACATACACAGTGAAACCCTGTCTCAAAAAAACAGAACAAAAATGGGATACCATGTAGTTGTTTCTAGATTCCTGTTAATTGATAGTCTGAGTACATTGACAAAAACAGAAGTATAATGCATTTGGTGAGAGACATGTTGTCTAAGAGGCCAACAGCTAGAGAAGACTCTGGTGGGCCTGAAGGTGGCTTATTTTCTGGTTTTATCACTGAGTTCTATTTACAGGCCTGTATCTTTATCTTTGCTATGTAGGTGTCTTGAGTTTTGTCAAAGATCAGTAGAGGGGGAGATTATGTGCAAATGGAAAAGAAAATGAAGAAACAGTGAAGAGGACCTAGATTAAAGGTCAAGGGACTGGCCTTTGTCAGAGTTTTGATGATGAAATGTAAAACAAGGAAGTGTCACACAGTTATAAGACTTGAATTTCCATTGAGGAGCCATATAGACTGTGGCTCAGGGTAATGATTAAGAAAAACAATTGAGTCCTAGTAGCCCAGCTAGCTTAAATCCTTTAACTTTAATGATAGGCGGTGTCTTCACAGGTTTCAGAGTGCATCATAGTTAAAAACAAAGCTTTGAAAATAACTTAAGTTTAGACTAATATGTGTTTGTCAAATAGCTTTGAAGTGAAAAACCCAAGAGGATAATTTAAAGAGGATATAGTTGTGGAACTCGTTAAGATCAGAAAACAAGAACAAAGCAGCCCAGTTATCATCAGCTGATGTACTTTTCTTGCTAGATTTGGTTGATGACCAAAGGTGATGATTAATTCCTTATACCCATTTCTGCCCTCAGTCTCTGGATATAAGATGAGTGGGTATGTACCACCCCCCGCAGGCAATGAAATAAATGAGAGCCACATGTGGTGGCACTCACCTCTAATCCCTTGGGAGGCTGAGGCAGGAGGATCAGGAGTTTGAGGCCAGCCTGGGCTACATAGTGACACCCTGACTCAGTGTAAATGAGAACTGGAAGAGGATAAGGGACTCTGAAAGTGTCTAAGGCTCATGAGTTAGAGTTCCTGCTGTGCTTGAAACAGCTTCTGGAAGTATCCTGGAGTGGTAACTAGAGAATAGAATGCAGGAAATAGACCAGAGAGAGGCTACTCTTACTGGTAATGGCAGAGCCCAGGGAATGACTATGGAAAACTGGAGTAGGGTGGAGGACTAAGTCTGGAGTTTGCTGGAGGACGGAAGCCAGAGTACTTCGACAATTGTCTCCGAGAACTGTTCATGTCAGGGTTTGTTGAGTGACCTTGGACAAGTTATTTGTTTCTTGGTGCCTCAGTCGTCATGCTTTAGGAAGGACCTTACTATTTCTGCTTCACTTGAATTCAGTAAGATGGATGCTATGTGAAGGTTTCTGGCCTGTCCTGCCACCCTTCTCTGCCCCAAAGAAACACAAAGATGCTGTATTAGTTATAAGCTGTTGGCTGGAGACTTAGCCTTCTTATTCTTAACCCTTAACTACTAATCTATGCATTTTCACATGGTCTTGGTTTACCAGACCTGCAACTTTTTTGCCTGCTACATAGCAACTGCTCAACATCTCTGCAGAGGAGAGAGCAATTTCCGGTTTTTTCCTGCTTATATTCTGATTCTGCCCAACTATGTCACTTTCTGGGATCACATGGTGACTCCTCTCTGTAAACGGTTATTACTGTTTCTGTGTGGCACTGAACAGGGAGGACTGTAGACCCTTCCCCTTCCTTCCTTCCTCCCTTCCCTCCCTTTTCCTTCATCCTTTTGTCTCTCCTTCCCTTTCTACCTCCTTTCCTTTCTTTCTCTTCCAAGGTTTTATTTGTGTGTGTGTCAGCCCCTTTTCTTTCTGTTTTAAAACAAGGTCTCACTATGTAGTACAGCCTGGCCTCAAATTCATGGTTCTCCTGCCTCTGCTTTTCAAGTGCTGGGATTGAGTGTATGCTACCATGTCCCACTGTAACATGAAAAATAAATGACCCAGAGACTGATATTGGGGTCCAAACAAGCTGAATATCAGAAAAGCAAAGCAACTGACCACTAGCTTCTTATCTGTACCTCAGGCTGAATGGGCTGATCCTGTCTCCATGAACTCTCACCAAGCCTCATACTGTAATCTTTCCTCAGCATGGCTGGAGAATGACTGTCTCATACGGACTACTGAAGACCCTGCCTCTATCTTTTATACCCTTCTAGTGCTGGGATTAAAGGCATGTGATCTGTTATTCTTAAATATTGATTCAATCTTGGGTACCCCTGGGTGGCCTTGTACTCAGAGAAATATGTCTGTCTCTTAATCCTGAGTTCTAGGATTAAATGTGTACCACCACCTCCTAGTTTCTGGCTGCTGGAATTAAAGAGAGAAGCCTTTTCCTTGCCAGCCGCTTTGGTTTTTCCCCGCCAGTTGCCTGGGCTCTGCCGCGTTGTAGTCCCAAATAACACACAAGACGCTGTATTATGAAGCTTTGGCCTTGCTTGTTTCTTACTGGCTAGCTCTGACTTAACCCATCTAAGTATTTCTCTTACCGGACGGACATCTTACTTCTCTGGCAGGCTACACGATGACTTGCTGTGTTTCTTCTACCAGAGTCCTCCTGGACTTCTAGTCCCACCTATCTTGCTTCCCTATTGGCCAACAGTGCTTTATTGACGTATACACAGGACTTCCCCATCAGGTGTGTGTCTGGCTTCTATGGCTTGTGGCTGACTTTGCTTTCTGAATCCTCAGGCAAGCTTTAATAAATCAAAATAATGTCACCTCAGTCTCACCCTTATGTTATTGTTTCTGAACGTTTCAAACACCCTGGGAAGATGGGGAGGAGAGGGCTGTGTCAGTGTTATTTTTATTAATCATTAAACTCTAATTAAGAACTTTCTTGCCAGGCGTTGGTGGTACACACCTTTAATCCCAGCACCCGGGAGGCAGAGGCAGGCTGATCGATGTGAGTTCGAGACCAGCCTGGTCTACAAGATCAGAACAGCCTCCAAAGTCACAGAGAAACCCTGTCTGGAAAAACAAGACAAAAAAAAAAAAACAAAACCCTTTCTTGGTGTTTTATAAAACAACAGTTATTTGCCTAAAGTTCTTTCTAAACAGTTTTCTGTTATTTGTTCCCAGCAGAAGCCCAAATAAGGGAACCCAAAGAAATGTGTCAAGAAGGCTTATCTAGACTAGCTCTGAACAGCTGCAGTAAACAGACCGAGTGCTCACTGGAAGAGAGGAGGATGCTAGGGGTGGCACCGGAACTTGTGGACTCCATGCTGGAGTCCCGAAGACACCCAGGCAGTAGCCTGCAGAAAGAATTTCCCCAGGTATTCTCAAATTAACTACATAACTGAGTGAGAAGCAGGCCCATTGAATCAGCATCCATTCATCTAAAATATCAGAAAACCACTGGAATGGCTTTTGTTGTGGAATAGTATTTTAAGATGTGTTACCTTTGTTTATGTTGTGGAACATTTAATGATGCAAAGATTTGTTGTATTCTTTTATGTTGCATTTGTTTTACTCTGTGAAGCTATGTTACTTTGTCCATCTAAAACACCCCACTGGTCTAATAAAGAGTTGAATGGCCAATAGCTTGGCAGGAAAGGGCCAGCAGGCACAGAGAATACATGGGAGGAGAAATCTGGGAAGAAAAGGATCCAAACCAATAACAAGGAGATGAAGACACAAAAGGCCACCCAGCCAGACAGCCACCCAGCCACATAGCAAGCCACGGAGTAAGCATGAAAGTAAGATAGACAGAACTAGAGAAAGGTAAAAGCCCAGAAGCAAAAGATAGACAGGATAATTTAAGAAAAGCTGGCTAGAAACAAGCCAAGCCATGGCCAGGTATTTATAAGTAAGAACAAGCCTCTGTGTGTGATTTATTAGGGAGCTAACTGGGTAGTGGACCCCCAGAAGAGTCAAAGAGTAAAACACAATCAGCTACAGCCTTCCTTTGCCAGCTGTTGGCGTTGAACAAGCTGACTTCATGAGCCCTGATTGTCTCTCCTATAAATCTGACATGAACTCAGCTACAGCAGAGTGGTTATGAGGATAAGTTAGTATATTGCATTGTTAATTTTCTTATCCTGTGAAGATAAGTTAGTGTATCACATTGTTACTCTTCTTATCGCTGTGTCATATACTTGTCAGAAGCAACTTAAAAAGAGGTTTATTCTGGCTCCTGGCTTCAGTGGGTACTGTCCATCATGCCTGGAAGGCTCATTAGGACAGTACCATCTGCAGGAGAGGAGTGGGGGACAGCAGCAGGAAGAAAATAACTAGACCTGAATGACTGTGTCTGTCCACTATTGGCCATTTCCCAAAGATTCGACAGCTCCCATGACAGTACCACTAGCTGGGGATGGGGGTGGGAGGTCGAGGAGACATTTCACATTTACATCATAATGGTAAGTAAGTCTGTGCTGATGAAAGGCAGAATAAACTGAAATGCTTGTACTCCACTAATAGGACTAAAACTCAATATAACTATTTTTAGAAATAGGCATCCTGTGTGTGTGTGTGTGTGTGTGTGTGTGTGTGTGTGTGTGTGTGTTGTATGCGTGTGGATATGTTTGTGTACATGAGAGGTCTTCCTTATGTTCCATCTTTTGAGGCAGGATCTCACTGAACCTGGAGCTCACTGGATTTGGTTAGGCTGTGTGCTGCAGGGATCTGCCTATGTCCGCTCCCCCACTGCCAGGCCTGGCTTTAGTGTGGGTGTTGGGGTTCTAATTGAGGTTCTCATGTTTGCACAGCAGGCAGGAACCAACTTCTGTTACTTGATTTTGTTGGGGTGAGATCTGAGAAAGCCTGTTAGCCTTTGCAAAGAGGATATCAGGATCATCAGGACCCTGGGCAACAGCCTAAAAAAAATACCTTATCTTACCCAGGGGCTGGAGAGATGGCTCAGTGGTTAAGAGCCCTAGCTGCTTTTCTGGAGGTCCTGAGTTCAATTCCCAGCAACCACATGGTGGCTTACAACCATCTATAATGAGATCTGAAGTCCTCTTGTGGCCTGCAGGCAGAACACTATACGAATAATAAATAAAAATACCTTACCCAGGTCAAAATCAGATCCCTAAACCTAATGATAGTGGCTAACTCTAAGTCAGTGCTTACCTAATTTCTGTCTGAATACATTAAGATGTGTAGATTCATACCATAAGGATGATCAAATTGTACAATGTGTTCTATATCCTCTAAAAGATCACTGAGGCCGGGCAGTGGTGGCGCACACCTTTAGTCCCAGCACTTGGGAGGGAGAGACAGGCAGATCTCAGTGAGTTCAAGGGGGGGGGGGCGGGAGAGTGAGGGGATAGGGGAGACACATAGAGATATAGCTCAGTGGTTAAGAGCATGTACTATCCTTGAAGTGGCCTGAGGTTTAGTTCCCAACACCCACGTAGGGCAGCTCAAAACTGCCTGTAATTCCAACTCCAGTAGAATACTCTGGCCTCTTCCTAGCACTTGCATGGCTGTGCACATACCCACACACATATACGTGGTTTCAATCTTAAAAGTAACTCTTTTTAAAAAGAGTGTACATACTTTGGAATTAACGAAACCAGTAAAAACACTCTGCAGACTATTTAGTGCATCATTCACATTATTGATGTTGACTCTCTTGTAAAATGATACATGTGTTTACCTCTGGGGTTTTTTTTTTGTGATCACATACACATAGTCTCTTAGTGTGTTGGTTTGGACGGTGTGAAATTGTTTTCATACAGGTAAAAAAGTCCCTCAAGTATCAACGATTTTGATTGGCTCAACCTAATCCAAGAAATGCACATGGCGTGGAAGTGCTGTTCACCGCTCTTCTATAAACAGACAGGAGCTGCGTGTCTTAGTACATTTGCTGTTGGCTTATCACTAATTTACCATTTCATCGCCAGAATGAAGACCTGGCTAAAGGCAGTGAGCCTCAGAACCGCCTCTTTGGGGAAGTGGAATGCATGGCCCAGAGGCTGCAGGCAGCCTTAGAGGAGATCCAGAGGAGAGCTGAGGAGCCACAAGAGCAGGGCGAAGAACAGAGAAAGTTAGGTGAGCCATGGCTGCAGATGGCTCTGGCCGTGGGTTTACCGGGATGATCTGAGGAGAGATGCCAAGGGGAAAAGGACTGAAAGATGAGCATGTCCCCAAGGCTTCAGAAAACACAGGCTTGGCAGGCCCGCCCCAAAGGCACAAGCCAGACTGTGAGCCACTAGGAGTCCCAGCACTAAGAAGACCCATTTGTTCCTTCACCCTAACTCTGGATCCTCCCTCCTCACCAAAAATAACCACCAAGATACTCTGAATGCTGTTTCTGAGTTTTGACCATGTGCAGTGCCATTCATTTACAATTTTATTTCATTTATTTCTATTTTATGTGCATGGGTGGGTTGCCTGCATGTATGTCTGTGTACTGTACATGCCTGGTGCCAGCAGAGGCCAGAAGAGGATAGCAGATATCCTGGAATCTGAGTTACTTATAGACAGTAGTGAGCTGCCATGTGTGTGTTGGGAATTGAATTTGGGTCTTCCAAAAAAGCAGCTAGGGCTCTTAACCACTGAGCCATCTCTCCAACCCCCCACTGTTAAAAAACAAAACAAAAACCTTTAAAATGGGTATGGTGATACACTGACTGTTCTTCCAGAGGACCTGGGTTCAATTCACAGCAACCACGTGGCAGCTGGCAGCTAACAACTGGCTATAACCCCAAGATCTGACACCCTCACACACAGAGACACACATGCAGACAAAACACCAATGCACATAAAATAAAAAATAAGTTATTTAAAAATCTGCTTTTAGAATGACACAGCCAAATATACTGTTTGCCCAATTTAAACATTACTGGAGACAACCAGTTCCTGAAACTTGGTTGGTCAGACACTGCCTGGTCTCCTGCAGTATTTGTCCAGAATTTGACAACTCTGGTTTTTCATCAGCCTTGAATGAGTCACAATCCTATCTGGTTGTAAAGTTTCTCTTTTGAGAGAAGACTTTGCTATATAGCCCAGAATAGAATTCACTCTGCTAACACTGGCCTTGAATTCATAACTCCTGCCTCAGTCTCTCAAATGCTGGCACAAGCCTGCACCACCATGCCAGGCTTTGTTACATTTTTAAGATCTTGCTACCAGAGTCACAGTTGTGCTTTCTAAGTTCACTTTTTTAGTTATTACTCTAGGTATGGTTGGGTTTTTTGTTGTTATATTTTGTTTTTTGTTTGTTTGTTTTCACAGGGGCTCTCTATTCTATAGCTCTGGTTATCCTGGATCTTACTTTTGTAGACCAGGCTGGTTTCAGTCTCACAGAGAGATCCGCCTTCCTCTACCTCCTGAGTTCTGGGATTAAAGGCGTGCACCACCACGCCCAGCTAGAGCATGGGCATATGGGTGGGTTTTTTTCTGGGGGGGGCATGACAATAATTAGTCTTTTACCAAGATTAGTAGCAACAAAAGAATAAAAAGATAAGTTGAGTTGCATAAAATGAAAACCTTTTGCCCATCAAAGGACACTTTCAACAGAGGGGAGATCTGAGAAAAGTACTAGAGAATATTCCTGATGTCATACAGAGACAGACATGTGAACAATGCAAAAGGCACTCCACAAGGCAACTCCTACTTTTGTAAATGGATGAACAAAGATCCAAAAGGGGGAGCAAGCACACTTGGGCAGGAGGCCTTTAGAGTCCATCCTGAGGCAGGGAGGTGGGGGTGTTTCACTCTGCAACCTCACTGTCTGATGTGACAGGCTCGTTCATAGTGGCGAAGGTGTAGGGTGTGACCACTAATCTCAGGAATGCATAGCATTTGAGGGTTGGATGAACAAGCATGGTTTCACAAGATGAGGGAGGTTTGTGGAATAGTAGGTTTTGGCAGCTGGCCACATTTGCGAGATAAGGCTGCTCACAATTCAGAGGAGGAGTATTTGAAAATCACCTGTCTCCTAAGAGATTACTACCCAGAATGCTTACACTAGAAATCCCACAGTTAAAAAACACAGAAATTCCATGCCAATAATCCCAGCACTTCAGAAGGCAGAGATAGGTAGATTTCTGAGTTCCAGGTCAGCCTGGACAGCAGAGTAAGTTCCAGGACAGCACAGGCTACAAGAGAAACCCTGTCTCAATCATCCACCCCCTGACGTGTGTCCCCGGAAAAAAGAAAGCCCACTGTTAAAAAGCAGCAATGGCTGGCTGAGTGTGGTGGTGGCCACACCTTTGATACCCTTCAAGAGGCAGAGGCAGGCAGATCCCTAATTCAAGAACAGCCTGGTACATAGCAAATTCCAGGCCAGCCAGAGTTACATGGTGAGACCTGGTTCCAAAAAATAAATAGAGGGCTGGAGAGATAATAGGGGGATGGAGAGATGGCTTGGGTTTGATCCTCAGCACCCGCATGGTGGCTCACAACTGTCTGTTAATGCCAGTTCTAGGGGACTTAATGCCTCTGGCCTCCATGGATATATGATATACAGAAACATGTGCAGGCAAAATATCCATACACAGAAAATAATAAAATAAAATTGAAAAATATCAATAAAAGCTAGTTATAAAAAGTATTGAATAGACATTTTTCATTATGTACATAGTTGATAAACACATAAAACATCACTAGTCATAGGGAAGTAGAAATCAAGACCATAAAAATCATAATTAAGCAAAACTCTATGCCCATTATGATTGAAACTATGAAAAAAAACCTGACAAACAGCAAGGGTTAGCTTATCTTGCAGTAAAATGGAATGAAGCAGTTATACCTGTTTCGTGGTAGAATCTCAAAATTGTGTTAAGTGAAAGAAAACAGATACAAATTCATGTATGATTCTACTTATAAGAAATATCCAGGGACTGGAGCAATGGCTCAGAGGTTAAGAGCACTGGCTGCTCTTCCAGAGGTCCTGAGTTCAATTCCCAGCAATCACATCATGGCTCACAACCATCTATAATTAGATCTTGTACCCTCTTCTGGACTGCAAGGGATACATGCAGGCAGAACACTGCATGTATAACAACTTAAATAAATCTTAAAAAAAAAAGAAAGAAATGTCCAGAAAAGGCAACTCTAGAGACAGAAATAGATAAGTGCTTGCCTAAACTGGATTTGATAGATAAAGTTCCATTTGGCAAAACCAAAAGCAAGTCTAAATATTTATAGTCAGTAAAAAGGTGTGTGTTCAGAATATAAGGTTCTTGAAAGCTAAGAAACCAAAGTTGCAATGAAACAGAAATACCTGTGAGAGACTTGAGCAGGGACTCCACCAAACTGCACACAATGTGAGCAGCCACCACAGCAGACACAAGAGCTTAAAGAGTCTCACAGTGGAGCTGGTTATTGCCACCAGAACAGGCAACATTACTAAGACTCATTAGTGAGCATTGGTAGTGCGTGTGGCTCAACCAGATCTCTTATACTACTGATGAGATCTTAACTATGCTCATGGGTCACTGTGCTGATACCTTGTTAGACTCTAACAAAGAAAGCTTGCCTGAAGCCCAGTGTTGGTGGTGCATGCCTTTAATTCCAGCACTCGGGAGGCAGAGGCAGGAGGATCTCTGTGAGTTCGAGGCCAGCCTGGTCTACAGAGAGAGTTCCAGGACAGCCTCCAAAACAATACAGAGAAAGCCTGTCTGGAAAAAAAGAGAGAGAGAGACTCAAAAAAGTCTCTCAAGACAGGAGGAGTAAGGGTTAAAATCAAGGATCTTAAAATATATACTTAGAGCTACAAGACACCATGACCAAAGCAACTCTTATAAGAGAAAATATTTAATTAGATCTGGCTTACAGTTCAGAGGTTTAGTCCATTATCTGTCACAACGGGAAGCATTGCAGCGTGCAGGCAGACAAGGTGCTGGAGAAGGAGCTGAGAGTTCTACATCTTGATCTGCAGGCAGCAGAAGGAGACTGACACACTATGCCTAGCTTGAACATTTGAGAGCTCAAAGCCAGCCTCCACAGTGACATGCTTCCTCCAACAAGGCCACACCTACTACAACCAGGCCACAACTCCTTATAGTGCCACTCCCTGTGGGCCAAGCACTAAACACGAGTCTATGGGGCCGTTCCTAGTCAAACCACTGCAGGGGGGTATTTAAGTTCATGTGTATGAAAGCTTGCCTGATGTGTGTCTGTGCACCCTGAATATGTAATGCCTGAGGGGGCCAGAAGAGGGCCAGATCCCCGAGACTCAACTTACAGAGAGTTGCCATGTGGGTTGTGGGAATTGAACCTGAGTCTTCTGGAGGAGTAGCCAGTGTTCTTAACTACTGAGCCATCTCTCCAGCCCCTTGTTTACCTTTTGTACATATGTTTTCTTTTTGGTTTATTTTAGACATTGCACTTGAGAATGCTCGGCTGGAAATTGAAAAGTTGAAGACTAATCTGATAAAACTGAAAGAAAGTGGTGAGTCATTGGCATATATAGTAATAATAGATGGCACATTAACATTGTGCATGTAGTTTAAAATAGTATTTAGGAGCTGAAGAGGTGGATGGCTCCATGGTTAACACTTAAGGCTCTTGTAGAGGACGTAAGTTTGGTTTTAGCACACACGCTGGGCAACTCACAACCGCCTGTAACTCCAGCTCCAGGGGATCTGACACCCTCTTCTGGCTTCTGTGGACACTTCACACATGTGCACAGACATACAGGCACTCACACAGAAATAAAACAATAAAATAAATCTTTAAAATGTCTTTAATAATGAAAATCACAGGTACCACTACTACAGCCGTTGCTGCTGCTCTCACTTGCTACTTACAGAGATTCAGCTGCTCTGCCAGGAGCTTTTCGTGATCATCTTTAAGACTCCTAACCAGTCAGGTAGTGAATATGATTATCCACATCTTATCGATAAGGATGAATCACCTTTAAGACTAACAAGTCAAGTAGTGAATATGATTGTTCCTACCTCATAGATAAGGATGCTAGGTCATGGTTAACTGAATTGTCCATTAACTACAAAATGTATCATAACTGACGTGTAAATCCATACATGTCTGGTTCCAAAACCTGTCACCAGGGCAAATAACTCAGGCTCTACTGGGACTACCGAAGCCAAGGGTCCTTGCAGTGTACTCAGCCATACATCACTCGTATTTGTTCACTGGAAAGCCGATAGGCTTGGAATGGTATTGAATGAAGTCATCTGACACTGCCTTGGCTGCTCAATAATGCTGTTACCTATTGCAAAACTTGGATATTTCAATGGCCACAACAAAAATGATTTACAGAATGATTTTAATCCATTTTAAATAATTCCAAAATTAGTTTTTCCTTTCAAAATACAGGAATATGATTGTGAACTCAAAAGTGCTTATGGCAACTCATAGATCAGGTAACTCATGAAAACAGCAAGGCTGCAGTCCTGGGTGGTACTGATAGAAAACACTAGAATGCACATACTTTTCATATACCCATAAAACATTTGCTAAGAGGGACCAGTTAAGAGTGGTAGCACCCATCCTTGATCCCAGCACTTGGGAGGCAGGGTCACATGGCTCTTTGTGAGTTCAAGGCCAGCCTGGTCTACATTATAAGTTCCAGGAGAGCCAGGGCTACTGTCTCAAAAAAAAAAAAAAAAAGAAAAAGTTAAGGACCAGGGAGATGGCTCAGGAGGTGAAGTGCTTGCCACAAAAATCCTGGAACCCAAGTAACAATTCAAAAGCAAGATGCAAGCCGGGCGGTGGTGGCACACGCCTTTAGTCCCAGCACTCGGGAGGCAGAGGCAGGCGGATCTCTGTGAGTTCCAGGCCAGGCTGGACCGACAGCCTCCAAAACAATACAGAGAAACCCTGTCTCGTAAAACCAAAAAAAAAAAAAAAAAAAAAGCAAGATGTGGTCACATCTGTAATCTTGTGGAAAGCCTGTGGAACAGTGCACGGTATAGTAGCAGAGACAAGAAAAGAGAGCCTGCCTCAGAACGAGGTGGAAGAGAGGACTGACTACTAAAAAGCTGTCCCTTCGCCTGCACTCGTGCTGTGGCACATGCACTCCTGCACTAACATATACAGCCACATGCTTGTACATACACACTCACACACAGTGATAGACAGACAGACAGACAGACATTCAGAAGGCAGAGGCAAGGGAATTGATGCAAGTTGCAGGTCAGTCAGGGCTACCTTCTAAGACCATGTCAGAGGAAGAGGAGAGGAGGAGGAAAGAGGAAGACTAGGAGGAGAAAGAAGAGGGGAATTCTAAATGCATTAAATTGAATCTGGAGTTAGAAATCTTCTATGAAGAGAGTTCCAGTGTCAGGCAGCTTCACAAGTGAATCTAACACATCTGTTAGGAATAAATAATACTGATTTTATATAAACTTTCAAAAGGTCAAAGAAAGGAGAACAGTTCCCAAACTCTCTAAGTGACCAGCATTACTGTCCACCAAAACCAGATACTCTCAAGCATCCCAGATGAACGTAGAAATACTTGGAAAGGAGAGAGAATGGGAAACAGCTTGTGGAGTGGTAAATTTCAATGCAGTCACCAAGAATGGACTGTGTACATAGTGATTGGTTAGTGAATGCCTCAAAACTGTTAATAAGACTGCTAAGTAGAAGAGTCTAGAAATGTCTAAGGTGTGTAAGAGACAGAGCTAGAGAAAACTTTCTGTCATTTAATTTTCAAAAGTTATACCCAGCTGGGACTGGAGAAATGGCTCAGTGATTAAGAGCACAGGCTGCTTGCTCTTCCAGAGGACCTGGGTTCAATTCCCAGCAACCTCATGGCACCCACATACACAACTGTCTGTAACTCCAACTGTATCTGACAACTATCACGCAGACATACATGCAGGCAAAACACCAATGCACATAAAAAAAATAAAATAGTGAGTGTCATTAAAAAAAGAATGTGTCAGGGATTAAACAAATAATTTATGTCCAGCTGAAATTTCAGCTCCAGGGACATTGAGATGTCTCAATGGGTTAAGGCCGTCAAACCCAATGACCTGAGTTCAGTTCCCAGGACCCATACGGTTGAAGGAGAGACCTGATGCTGGCAAGTTGTCCTCTGACATGCACGTGCATGCCATACTCATACACACACAAAATAAAGAGATGTTTTACGTTCCAAGAACCCTGTATTGCTGGAAACTCTACACTCAAAAAGTTCATTAGGCTTGTGTGAGAAATGCAAAGCCTTCTGTTCCATTAACAATAGGTTGGTGGAGGATTGTAATTTGGTGGCTCTCCTATGTAGACAATTACATATGCAGAACAAATGTGTCCCAAAGCAAAACCGTAACCCAAGGAGTAACCGCCTTGTTCTCTGTTTAGATGCAACTGACTTACTGAGATCAGCAAGAGAACATAACCAGAGGCTGAACCAAGAGATCCTGGCCTTAAGAAACCGGGTGCGATCACTTGACTCAGAGAAAAAGGTGCTTGGAGAGATGGTCAGTGTGCTTTAGGTCTTGGAGTCCAGTGTGTGTCCAGTAGCAACCAGTCCTGTGAGCCATGTGGCTATGCATCATCAAGTTGGTCCTTTAGGAGAATGGTCTGACAGTTGTCGCACGCCAGGGTACAGAGGTGATGTGTTCTAACCCAGTGTGCTCTAACCTGCCAGTGCTTATGCTTCGTTTTAAGCCCTTGTCTGAACAGCAGCATCATTGCTGTTGTATGAATACCAGGTTGCTTATTTTTGTTGTTGTTTTTATGTGTATGGGTGTTTTGGCTGCACATGCGTCCATGCATCATATGCATGGGGTGCTGAGGAGGCCAAAAGAAAGCGTCAGATCCACTGCAGAAAGACCATTATAAACTGTGGGTGGGATACTGTAATACAGAAACAAAACTAAATGAACACCAAGAACATCCTCAGGTGGCCTGAGTTCAAATTCTAGCTCTATCACTTACATGTGACTCTGAACACATAGCTTCCTTCTCCTTACTTTCTTTCTCTGTAACAGAGAACATTAACAGTCTAGGCTGCAGCAGGGTGTTGGTGGCGCATGCTTTTAATCCCAGCACTCAGGAGGCAGAGGCAGGTTGATCTCTGTGAGTTCGAGACCAGCCTGGTCTACAGAGCTAGTTCCAGAGCAGCCTCCAAAGCCACAGAGAAACCTCTGTCTTGAAAAACCAAAATAAACAAAACAAGCAAACAACAACAAAAAAACAACAGTCCAGGCTGCATCCTAATGATCCAGTTGATGTCAGTGTTTATTTGCACTTGATAATTGTTTGTTCAGTGAATGAATGAGTGGCTGCACAAACAAATCAATAAGAAGAAAGGAGATTGTAAATACCTGACAGGTTAATATTTTGTTCAAAATAACTAAAGTATTATATATTTGTATATGTGTATGTATACATATATATGCCTATAGTTACGTAGATTGCTAACTATATAGAAAATAGAATATGGTATGTAGACAGGAGGGAGGCAGGGTCTCTCTAGCCCAGGCTGACCTGGAGCTTACTAGGTAGACCATGCAAGCCTTGAATTTAGCCTCCTGCCTCTGCTCCCCGAGTGCTGGGATTATAGATGTCCATCACATAATGAGACCCATCAAAATCTAGGATATGTTATCCTTGGTCAGTGATCAATATGAGTTAAAGGATTTCTTTAAGGTAGTTCCTGAAGGAGGTTGGTAACTGAAAATGGATTTTTTGCCTTCCAAGTTCTTTTACAAAGGAAAGGTTGCAACTACCTTAACTGAGGTTGTAAGCCAGGTGATGAGTTACCAATACCTTTTAACCCCAGGACCACTCTCTGCTGAGGAACTGAGTGATCTGAGTGTTATGCTCAGCAAGTCAGCACAGCTGTTTCCCATGAGCCTGTTTCTTAACCTTGACCTGGTGCTCTCCATCCCTGTGGTGGATGCTCTCAGCAGGCAGCTGGGCAGTCTTTCCTGACAACTGCTTATTGTACTTTCTGACACAAGGAAGTAGAAAGATAGTGCCAAGTTCGTTTTATGTTAGCCTCAATGGGCTTTAAGTATCCCTAGGTGTGTCTGAGAACCTTTGCAGAATAGATTAACATGTGAATCTGCAGACTGAGGGAAGCATGGCAGCAGTGTGTGGGTTAGCATCATCTAATCAACTGAGAGGACGAAAGGAACAAAACAGAGGGAGAATATCTCTCTCTCTCTCTCTCTCTCTCTCTCTCTGTGTGTGTGTGTGTGTGTGTGTGTGTGTGTGTAAATCATATTTCTCCGGGGAGCCTTGTCTAATACATATAGAAGCTAACATTTGGGAATCTAGTGCTATAGTGACTACTGGCGATTTGCCATGAATCATGGACGTCTTCTAGTTTTGTCATGTTATGTAACTGTTTGTTTGTTCGAGACAAGGTCTCTCTCTGCAGCCTATGCTGGCCCCAAATTTGCTGCCCTCCTGCCCCAGTCTCCCAAAAGCTGGGATTGTACTACCATGCTAAGCTGACAGAATTCACAAAATGCTAACAGAAATCCTAGGAGGAATTGTTCACCTGGCTGAGGGAACCAAGGCCACACATTCCTAACTGTAAAAAACAGTGGTGTCACAACTCAGCCTGACCACAGAGTCTGTGGTTTTGCCCCTGAATCTCTCCAGCCCAGTTGCTGTGGTCCTTAGTACCACACTAGCAAACTCCTGCTTCTGCCCAGCTCCACACCAGTCACAGAGCCTTCACTTCTGGCTGCCCTGTGGCAGGTCTGCCCTGAAGAATTCCCTAGGAAATAAAAACATGCAGGTCATTCTTTGTTTTTTAAAGGAAAAATAATCCAGAAAACCACTTCCTTTTCTTAGACACCTAAAAGCATGATAAGTGTTTCTAAATGTCGTCAGGTTCACCGTTAAGCAGATGACTGTCGCTGTCTGTCTGCGTGAAGACCTGTTTGGTCCCCAGGATGCACTCTTGATGGAAGGAGAGAACCGATTTCCACAAGTTCTCCTCTGCCCTCCACAGATGGTGGCAGGCACAAACTCTACCCCTAGATGCAAAATAGAAACATGGAATGATTTTTTTAAAGGAGAAATGTGAACTATTTGACAAGGATGACAATAGCCACAATGTTTTAAATGTTTATCAAGCACCGTGATGTGGGTAAGAGTCTCCCAAACAGTAGCTCACATGACCTCCTTGGGGCAGACTTCCCCAAAGCAGACACGAGTGTTCCCACCACTTATTTTTGAGGGCTTTAGGGGATTTGACCAAAGTAAGAGTTGTTCAGGAGTTGAAATCAGGCTTACCTGGTCCTGGAGTTCATTCTCTGTTTTTCTTTTTTTTTTTTTTTTTTTTTTTTTTTTTTTTGGTTTTTCGAGACAGGGTTTCTCTGTGGCTTTGGAGGCTGTCCTGGAACTCACTCTGTAGACCAGGCTGGTCTCAAACTCACAGAGATCCGCCTGCCTCTGCCTCCCAAGTGCTGGGATTAAAGGCGTGCACCACCAATGCCCGGCTCTTTTTTTTTTTAAGATTTATTTTGGGGTTTTTCACGTATGTCTGTGTGAGGATGTCAGATTCCCTGAAACAGGAATTGCAGACAGTTGTGAATTGCCATGTGGGTTCTGGGGATTGAATCCGGGTCCTTTGGAAGAGCAGTCAATGCTCTTAACCTCTGAGTATTTATTTCTCCAGCCCCTGGAGTTCATTTTCTATATAGTACCAACTCTCATGGAGATTTATAGAGTTTATATAGGAAATTACTCCTAACCTATAGAGGTCATAGCATGCCCAATGATGTGTACAGAAATCACTCTCCATAGAGCGGGCAGTGTTTCATCGTCTATAATGCCTTAGCCATCTGTGACTGAGAGAGATGACAGCAGCGAGACCTACTTGTTAGTCTGCGCCCAGGAGGCAGGTTCAATTCAGAGCGTTATTGAGCCTCTCCTTCCAGACAGAACATTGACAGTGCTGTGTTCTGAGCGGTTAAACTGTTTCTCCAAGTCCTTGGCCTCTGGCCCTCGGGAAGAAGGCAACCTGCAACAAGTCCCTGGTCGTCCTCTTTTTTTGCTGACTGACAGGTGAGGTCAGCTCCCCTTAGACACCAGAGAGCTCATCGTTTGCATCCATTTCCAGCTTCAAACTTTGGTCATTGGTCTCAAGAAGTATGTGAAGTGTGCAATTGCTCAGATGCATAACTGTATTCAGTGTGCCACTAGTTATGGTAAATTTTACACATATGGTAAAATATATTCAAATGCTTTCAAATATACAATTTCTCAAATATACAATAAGCTGTCAATGTTATATATTAAGTATAAGTTACAAGTTATTTGAAAAGGCTATCTTAAACATTAAAATTGATCTTAAAAATAGCCAGTTGTGATAGTATGTACCTTTAATCTTGGCTTTGGGAATCAAAGGCAAGCAGATCTTTGTGAGCTCAAAGCCAGCTTGGTCCACTAGTGAGATCAGACAGCCAAAGATACATAGTGAGAGTGAGACTCTATCTCAAAAAAATAAAAGTTAAAATATATAACCTTCTTCTTTTTTTATAAATTTTATTTAAATTAGAAACAATCTTATTTTACATATCAGTTCCAGTTCCCTCTCCCTCCCATCCTCCCATGCCCCCACTAACTCCCCAATCCCATCATCCATTCACTCCCCAGGGAGGGTGAGGCCTTCCATGAGGGATCATCAAAATCTGTCAAGTCATTTGGAGCAGGGCCTAGGTCCTCTCCTGTGTATCTAGGCTAAGAGAGTATCCCTCCATGGGAAATGGGCTCCCGAAGTCTGCTCATCCACTAGGGATACATCCTGGTTCCACTGCCAGAGGTCCCATAGACTTCCCAGTGCTCCTAGATAACACCCACATTCAGGGGGCCTGGTTTGGTTCTATGTTGGTTCCCCAGCTGTCAGTCTGGGGTCCATGAGTTCCCACTTGCTCAGGTTAGCTGTTTCTGTGGGTTTTCCCAGCATGGTTTTGACCCCTTTGTTTGTCACTCCTCCCTCTCTGAAACTGGATTCCAGGAGTTTGGCTCAGTGTTTAGCTGTGGGTGTCTGCTTCTGCTTCCATCAGCTACTAAATGAAGGCTCTAGGATGACATTTAAGGTAATCATCATTCTCATTATAGGAGAAGGGCATTTAAAGTAACCTCTCCACTATTGCTTAAGTTCCTAGTTGGGGTCATCCTTGTGGATCTCTGTACAATTCCCTAGTGCCAGATTTCTCTTTAAACCTATAGTGACTCCTATTGATGTGTCTCTTCTCTTGTTCTCCTCTATTCCTCTCCCCACTCAATCTTCCTGATCCTTCATGTCCTCCTCCTCCCTCCTCTTCTTCCTCCTCTTTTTCCTACCTTCCCCTCTCCTCCCCCATGCTCCCCATTTGTTCAGGGACTCTTGTCCCTTTCTTCTTCACTGAGGGACCATGTATGTCTCTCTTATGGTCCTCCTTGTTTCCTAGCTTCTCTGGAGGTGTGGATTGTGGGCTGGTATCCATATATGAGTGAGTACATACCATGTTTG